TGTATAAACTTCTGCAACAGTACATCAGTCTATGAATAATAAAAGGTGGGTCACTATACATAATTTTGAGTAAAATTCCACAAGTAAATCTTCCCTTTCTTTGGAATATTCCATTAAATAGGTGTGACATCTTGAATGTAAAATAGGAACGTTCTTATAGCTTAAATTTCAAGGTTAAGAAAGTATATTTAACACATTTACACATTCCATACCGTATATAGATAAGTAACACTTGATCAGTGAAACAGCTATAATTTTTAACCTATAAGTGAACTATCCCGATTAGTTAAACTTTCATGAAAAGGTTGAAATGTTTCTGAAAAACATGTGTCGCCCTACCACTGTCAAGGAATCAGATACCATTTATGTTCAATAACTTAAATCAGACTTAGAGACAAGAATATTAATATATTTATTAATTCTGTCTTTCTATTAGTTTACTATGACACAAATGTGCATGAACAAAACAGTGCTTACGTTTAATACTTACAATACACATCGATATTGTTTCTTAAAAAACTATTACTTGAAACTATGATTTAGAATTTGTTTTCCGCAAAAAAACAAACGATACTAGGTATCGTATTTCATTTGCACATTTAGTCTTTTCTTTTTCTACTTTGAGAATCAGCCAAAACCAATTGTAGAAGACGTTTGAGACGACCATGGATTAAACCTTAGTTTGACTCAGAATTGCAATAACAACGACGTAACAATCCCAGTATTCCTTTACATTTCATTTATCCTTATTTTACTTTCGTTCAAGCAAGCGCTCGGCTGACTCCGTAAACCCTGACTTGCGAAATGTCGGAGTAGACGGAGAGAGCCGCCATTTTCGACCCGCTTCAGATTTTGAATGCTAATATCTAGAGTTTAGATTTATCAATATGCAAACAAATTATACAGTAAGCATAATAAGAAAGGTTTCTATTAACATTCAAAATACAAATAAAAAACATTGAAAAACAAAAAAGTTAGAAAATACAGACTTTTTGATTTCGCTTCCGGTAGCAACCGGAAGTACTGACGACGCACGAAAAGGTAATTCCGCATATCTAAAAGTCATAATCTATCGTCTCTAATAAGTCTCCAGTTAATATCTTTAGCCATTTTTGAAAAAAAGGGGGAACAAAATTGCATTTTAAAATCAGAAAACTGTCAATAACTTGGAACCAAAAGTGAGTATTCCAAATTTTCCTAGTCATGCCACAACTTCATATAAAGACGCATAATTAAGGTCTTCCGTTTTCACGGAAGACCTTCTAGTGATTCTACTGTTTCTTATTATTATTTTTTTTTCCCAAAGTTTTTTGCACGCGATTTCTCGAAAACTATTCAGTGGTTTTCAGTGAAACTTTCAGAAATTATGCGTCTTAATATGAAGTTGTGGCATGACTAGGGAAATGTTGGGAAAGATTTTCTCATGGCGTTTGACTCAAAATTATGTATAGAGACCCGCCTTTCATTATTCTAATACAGATGTACTGTTGCAGAAGTTTATACAAGTATAAGAAGACCTGTGATCCCTTAGCGTAATAGTAAGTGCTTTGTGCTTTCGATTTTCACGCTGGCGACCCGGGTTCAATCCCCTTTGTTTCAATAAAAAGGATATCCCTTTTTCATCTCGATTTTGCGGGGGGGGGGGGGGTTCAGAGTCGGACGGAAGACCTCTCTCTTTCTTTTCTAGTTCCTGAAAGTTTCACTGAAAACCACTGAATAGTTTGTGAGAAATCGCGTGCACAAAATTTTGGGGAAAAAAAAATAATAAGAAGAAGAAGAAACAGTAGAATCACTTAATTATATAATCAGTATGATGATGAACAGCGTGTTATCCCTCTCGCGTATTTTGCTTTAAAAAATTACACGCTAAGTTTGGACTTTCAGTAAGGCGTGGCATTCTCGACGTTACCTAATTAGCTTCTGAAATTTACCAGTGAAGTATAACATACGTCACTGAATTTACACAGCTTTCCTTCACTGTTGAAATATACATATGATAAAAATGCGGCCGAATGTCAACTGGTGTAGTAAATTCTCTCACGGCACAAACGTGGGGCATAAGTCGTCTCATCGTTGTCAACAACAATTTTAAGTTCCTGATGTTATTAATTTCTTAACCAATGAGAATCTACTAGTATTCGCCATTACGTAGCGCCGAGAATGCCACGCCCTACTGAAAGTCCAAACTAAGGAGAAAATCGTCCTATTATCAGAACAGACTCAAGGATGCTTTTCATGACCCACCAATTTAACATCAAAACATACTAATAGATACATAATTGTATTATAATATGATAACTGAAGTAAAGTTAAGTTTGAGAACATTGTATGAAAAGACCCCTGAAATGCTTAAATCACTAAAATTATAAAAATAAAATTTAAATAATGAGAACTTGTACAAAAATTTAATTTTATATTATTATAAGAATGGATCAGGGATTTTCAGTGATAATGAAAAGAGGACCCTCCTCCAATTATTAATATTTACATTTCCAATGTCTTTGTCCGAGATAAAATTACCAAATGTAAATGTACTTTATTTCCCCATCAATGTATTGGCGCGGTTCCAAAAAAACCACGTGCAGGGAGGGACAAACAGCTAGACAGAAGCAGGGCTTTGAGCGCGTGGATTGGGGAATCAAAGCATGTAAATATAAGGAATAACTGTCAGATTTTTCAATTTCATGAAGATGATCAATAGATTGGCTTGCGTAATAATTTTATGCATAAACGCCTTCGGCGTTTATGCAAATTATCACGCAAGCCAATCGATTGATCACTTCATGAAATCGAAAAATAAGACAGTTATTCCTTAAATAAAAAATTAATTTCTTTTGATTTATTATAAAGTTTATAGTCAAAATGCACACTTTGAACTTTAAATATTATATATACATGTATAACCCTTTCGGAGGATGGGAAATTTTCAGTGCGTGGGGTTCTAAGAACAGATCGAGGTAGGTGTAAAATTCAGTGTTTTGAAAATAAAAAAAAAATCAAGATGAGTTTGGGAAATAAAACCAACTCAAAATACATTTGGAACGTTTAACTGATGATTATGTTGGTCATGTCTATACTAGCATGTGTTTTCTAAGCCATTGAGTAAACAGAAAAATTATTATAACCACGACAAATTTATTGTGTCCGGATAGGGCCATTTGCTAAAGCTCAACAGCGCGTTTAGAAAAACACGCTATCGCGCTAACACACAACACGCTAACACGAGTTCGCACAACACGCTGACGCATTAACACACAACACGCTAACACGAGTTTGCACAACACGCTAACGCGCTAACACACAACACGCTGACACGAATTCGCACAACACGCTAACACGCTTTCAAAAGCAACACGCCGTCCGGTCGCACTAACACACAAAACGCCATCGCGAGTTGTGTGTTAGCGCGATGGCGTGTTGTGCGAACTCGTGTTAGCGCGACGGAGTGTTGTGCGAACTCGTGTTAGCTTGACAACGTGTTGTCCGAACTTGTGTTAGCGTGACAGCGTGTTGTTCAATGTTGTGATAGCGCGATGGCGAATTGTGTGTTAGCGTGACGGCGTGTTGTGTGTTAGCGCGACGGCATGTTTTTCTGAAAGCGCTGTTGAGCTTTAGCAAATGGACCTATCCGGAAACCATACAAATGCTTTACGAGGCACATTGGTTAAATTAACTAGGTATTTCTTTCAGTGTGTCACGCTATCGAATCCTTATACAAAAAATGCGTCACGCTACTGAAACTTCACATAGCACGCCTTCGCACTTCCTCAAAACTCATCGTCAAGCTAACAACACTGTACACAATCTATTATCTAATGTGTTAGCGCGATGGCGTGTCGTAAACAAAAAATGCTCTATCGCGTTGTTATAAACGCGCTAGCATGTTGCTAGCTGCAGACCTGTAGCTCGTTGGTCGGAGAAAATCGGGATGGACGACTTGCATGTCCATCCCAACTTTTTCAGACCACTGAGTAATAAGGGCGAAACGATTACACGTGTAAACGGCGACGTTTCGATTATATGCTCTAAACGTTTACAGTTTGAGTAAACGTTTACACGAAGGTCATTATCAATGTCTATCAGAAATAAAGTTTAACACAAAAAAAATTGTTTTATTTCATAATTTACAAAAGAAACACCGTCTTTGGCCATTTGATAAGCAACAATCTAAACCGGAAACATACAAACTCCATTCTCCGGGACTACTTCCGTGCCCTACGAATAACGCCACTAATGATATGGAGTTGTAGCGTAACGTAATACTGAGCTGTCTGGAGCTTGGGGAAACATATTGAATGAAAATATCTAAAACCCGATACGGGCTAACATAATTAATTCCGATTTCCGAGTTGCTAATACTAGCGATGTTTTAAGACACTTGAAATATAAAACTTGATATATTTTGATTAAATAAATATAATACATTTTTCACAAGTCTTTGAAAAGTTTCAATACATTCAGCAGGTCCTGTTTTTACTTTTTTCGAGATTAAAAGATCCATCTTTACAATTATTTTTTCTACGTCCGGTAACCAAATAAACCAAGCAGTTGGGTGACGAGGTCGTAAGTGAATGAATTTAATGCGCCTCAAATTCTTACGGTTAAATCACAATGACCAACAATAAATTTGTAATAACAGCTCATACTTATATTAAAGTGAAAGAATTGATTATTAAATTCGAGTTTCATGAATGAGTAGCCATAAAAATCCAACATATAGAATATTTCCCGTTTAAACGGTACCGTTTCGTTTACTGCTATCCGTTTAAACGTTTACAAAATTCAGTAAACGTTTCACCCTTACTGAGTAACAAACCTGCAGCTAGCGTATTGCCACTTTGTAATAGTGCATTGCCACATCGCTCTAGCGCATCGTTACTTCACCCTAGCGCATTGTTCCTAACGCACTGTAACACTTGTGATTGGCCCTATCAGGACACCCTAGCTCTCTCTCAAAAGCATCCTTTTTGGGCATCTGTTCGATACTAATGCCAATGTCCTCAACAAGAATACTTTTTATTAGTTATCTCACTCTATAATATACTGGTGGAAATGGCTACTAAAACGGCAATTTTACAACAGGAGTACAAGTATATAAAATATATTTATCACCTGAAAGTTTACTTAATTGATATATAGTGAGAAGAGATTTCTGCAAGTTAATTTGCTTTTTCCATGGGATTAAATTGTAATGCAAAAAGCAAAATCAATAATGTTCTACCGGTATACTGCACAGTTGACTACACTTTGCATGTAAATAGTACGAATTGTAGTACAAGTACATTTTTAATAAAGTTGTACATCAGTTCGTCAGTTGAAATGAGTATGCATCATTCAGTCTTGAATTGGTTTCAGAATTACCTCCAAAAATGTAAAGATTTTTATTATGGTCAGCAAAAGCAGCAGCAAACCACCCTCGTGGTTCAGGCACGTCGCCTTGTACAGCAACCTTGACCCAGTTCTTAGGAGCAGACGTGTCAAGAATAAATGTTTCATTGGAGAAATTACCCGCGCCTTCGTGACCTTTATCAGAGGGATCCACCTCCCCGCCGACAACTATTATGTTGGTTCCATCGGAAACCACACCGAACACACTCCTAGGTGGCAGTGGTGTAAGGAAAGTCAAAGTTTGCCATGTTTTTGAAGTGGTATCAAATGCATGAACATCGTTCATTTCCCTGCCGGCAAAGCCTCCGACTACATAGAGAGTTTTACCGACGGCTACCAGGCCTGGACCACCACGGCCTTCAATCACATCATGCGATGGTTGTTTTTTCCACTGGTTGGTAGCGACATCAAAACAGTGCAAATCATTTAATCTGCCTTTTTCTGAACAACCACCAAATACGTAGAGCGAGTTCCCCATCGCTGTCATGGAATGAAAGCTTCTGGCTACTGGAACTTCTCCACTGGTCACAAGTTTACTCCATTCCTTTGTCGAGGTATTGAATGAGTACATGTCGTTCGTATCTCCCTCTCCCATTCCGATTCCAGATCGACCACCAAACACATACATACAGTCACTGATACTAGCTACTGCGGCGGCATTTATTGGCTTGGGTTCGTTCTCCTTGTTTTTTGGCTGACACACGCTCCATTCCTGCGTTTCTAGATTTAGGCAGTGCAAGGTACTCCCAATTGGTACTCGCGGAGAATGTTCCCCTCCGAAAACATAGCCGTTTTTGTTGATAATAACAAAGCCGTGACTGCTTCTGCCGAGTGGCGGGGTACCTATAGTGGACAAACGACGCCACAGACCCTGAAAATATGAAAAGAATCAAACTGTAATTTTTCAGGTCAAAGGTTACTCTTTCAGAACTGCAATCCTATGTTTTTGTCCCAAACTATGATCCATACTTCAACTAAAATGAAAGTAAATACAATGAACATTAAATTTCCTATGACGTACAGTGTATTTAAGCTTTAAGACGCAATATCAATTGGGTTAAAATAATTTGGGGACAAGAGAAGACATTTCCATTTATTTATAATTTTCTGCCAGAATTAATTAAAACCCTATTTATCTTGTTCAAGGATGATCACTCAAGACTGACAAGAGAAACGATGTTGATCAAAGATTTCATATTTCGACTAACAATGGAAAAATCATACGACACTTTCAATTTTCTTTAATTGAATTGATAATTTCACTACCTGCATTTCTCGCTTGCAATAGTCCTTGACAAGGTTTTGATCTAGGTTAAAATCTAGGTTGTGCACTACCAAGCTACCATTCCCTCTTAAAAATATAAAGTATGGCGAGTATTAACAGATACCTTTAAATTGAAATATTTAACTCTCCCTACAATCAAAGGATTAACTTATAAGGCATATGCTGTGCGCTGCTGCAAAGTCGATTGTTCATAAAATATTTTGATAAAATAAAACTAGGGGTACCGTGAGCAATGAGCTCACTAAATGATATCCCCGCCTCCCATATTGCAGTATGGGAAACCCAAAATCCTATCTTGCTAAATACTGTGACGTGTAAAGTCCCATGTTATTCAGAAGCCACCACACCTGACCGTCAAGAGAAGAATATAATTGCAAAGTCCATGTTTTCCTATGGGAAAAAATGTGTCGGATCAAAAAGTAAAATAGGGTGTGCACAATGGCATTATGTAATAAAGATTCTCTGAACGTCTCATCAAATTTCATTCAAGTGGTATAAGAGGAGTTCCGGATAAGAGATACATGCAGGTACCCCAACAAGCTCCAAACAGCTCAGTATTACGTTACGCTACAACTCCATATCATCGCTGCCACAGGCCTTTTGATATGACCTCGTTCAACCGTGGTTGAATGCGTGACGTCACAGTTAAATAAGGCGCGCTAAAATTTAGAGAATGCTAGATCTAAAAATTGTATTTGATTATGCGAGTAAAATTCTGTTGATACATGAAAATACATACAAGCATTAGTGATCCCCTGTTTTAATATCATTTTTTTTTAATTTAAATATTTAATATAGATCTATCATGTTTAATAATTATCATGGTTTATACACCATGTGCATGCGAGATGATTAATATGTCTTTAAAAAATACTTGCGTTATCTATGTGCTAAGTACAAAATTCAATCAAATGCAATTAGTATTTTAGTTCAGACAAAAAAACATAAGGTCCATCATTAACAAGCTTTATGCAAACAGCCTGTTTATTTACTGATTTATTGAATTAACATAGAAACTGGTAAAGAATTATTATACACGATGATTAAACTGCTTAAGAATATTTTTTTACCGTTCTTTCTTTTCTAGCTTTTCTCCACTTTTTTTAATCTAATAACATGAATAAAGATGATTGTTTTTCATACGCCCGATTTTAGAATTGGGGGAAAATATCAACGAAATAATTGTGGAAGTAAACAAATCTTAAAATCAAAATTCAATTTGCATTTTCAGCATCGATAAACAGGAACGTAATATCGCTATAAAATATAAGCGGGCAGCCAGATTTTTTTTTTTTACAATACAACCCCCCCCCCCCCCCCCCCCCCCCCCCCCGTTATTCGTAGGGCACGAAAGTAGTCCCGGAGAATCGACACTGTATGGAGTTTGGTACCCCAAAGCGGAATAGCTAGACAGACGTACAGACGGACGGACATCCCGATTACTATATACCTTCCCGCTTTTTAAGCAGGGGTATATAACTATATGCACACTAACTTTCAATACGAATTTTTAATAAAGGCAGATTTTTTAATGCTTGTTGTATTTCACATACCCCAAGGGAGTACATTAATTTTGTATTCAACATTTAGGATAGTTTTAGTTATACCCCCCGCTTGAAAAGTGGGAGGGTATATAGTAATCGGTATTCATACTTCACATATGTAATCCTTGTGAGAAGACCTTTCAGTGGATACCAGGAACTTTGACCGTGGAATTTAACCTACTTTAAAAAAAACCTTGACCATAACTTTTGAACGGTTAGGGCATCATTCACACATGTATTACTTCTGACAAGGCCTTTCTTTAGAAGCCGACAACTTAAAATTTGGCCTTGGAGTTTGACGTACCTTTCTTTCAAAAATTTATCCTTGGCCATAACTTTTGAATAGGTGGTTGGGATTTCGTATTTCACATTCGTATTTCTTGTGAGAAGACCCTACTTTGGGAAATAATATATTTAATTTGCATTTAAGAAAAGTTTAATCTTTGCTATGTTGCCATTTGGGGTCATCGTTTCACAAACACATCAGTCCTTACCCTTCAAAAGTTATGGCCAAGATTAAAGTTTTTTTATAAGTAAGGAAATCTCTAAGGTCAAAAGGTCAAAGTTGTTGGTCTTTCATACTTCACATATGTAATCCTTGTGAGAAGACCTTCCATTGCATACCAAGAACTTTGACCCTTTTTTTCAAGTAACTATAAGTCCTATGTTGACCAAACTTGCATGGATCGTATATATACGGATGCAAACTACCAAGCTTGCTTCGCATGCTGAACCTGACCTATATTTTCTGGTTGAGGGAACTAGGTAAATGTTTTTTGAGGTCTCATTTCCAAGTAACTATAAGCCCTATGATGACCAAACTTGCATGGATGATAAATCTAAAAATGCACACTACCAAGCTGCTTGCTTCAGATGCTGGATCTGACCTACATTTTCCGGTTTAGTAAACAGTTTAAAGTTTTTGTGCATGTCCCATTTTCAAGTAACCATGAATCCTTTGTTGATCAACTTGCATGGATAATACATCTAAGGATGCATAGTACCAGACTTGTTTCGGATGCTGGATCTGTCCTACATTTTCCAGTTGAGTGAACAGATTTATGTTTATGGTGCAGATCCCATTTCCAAATAAATATAAGCCATATGTTGACCAAATTTGCATGGATGATATTCTAAGTATATATGTACACTATCAAGCTTGCTTCTGATGCTGGATCTGACCTACATTTTCTGGATGAGTGTCAGAACAGGTTCAAGATTTTGTTGCATGCCTATTAATAAGAAACCATAAGGCCTATCTTAGCCAAATTTTCACGTATGATGCAACAAGGGATGGACACTCTCAAACTTGCTTCAGATGTTGGTTTTGAATTACTAGTACATTTTCTGGATGAGTGACTAGTTTAAAGTTTTGGATAAGTATGTTCCTAAGTAACTGTGAGCCCTATCAGATTAAAGTTGCAGAAATGTTGCATCTTTGGATGTACATTACTAGATTGTTAGTGTAATGTAGGACTTTGCCTTGCTTAAAGACAACATTCGTTGAGGTGAACTCTGTGATCTCCGATTACCTATGTTTGAAAAAAAATATTTATGCCATTAACTTGGCTCTTAATAATGAAGTATCAATCATTTAAAGGCATGTCTCATTTTAGCCTAGTGGTTGGATGCTTGTTTCGTGATCTGAAAAGAAGGGGGAGGGGTTAATATACTGTATATATAGTTAGAAACGTATTCCCTGTGTCATGTCTATGACACGCCATCTTTATATACCCGGGTAGCTATTGCCAATATCAGATTTTTTTCTCCATTGTAAAGGACAGATCATCTGTTTTCAGCATAATCATAACAGATTATTTATTTCCAAATTCTGATAGTTCTCCCCTCCCTCCAATTCAAAAGGTGGTTCTCTATGAGGAATGAATAAGTAAAAATTCCGAACACTCTATCTCTGCCAGTTAAAACATCTCACCTTACAAGAGTTTTTGAAGGGGATCTCAAACAATTAATAATCATTAAAGTATGCCTGTAGTACAAAGGGAAAGGGGCATGCTATTATATATTATTATTTTATTATGCGTGCTATTATATGATGCAGACTTCACATAAAGTTAAAAATATACTAAGTGATAAAAAATAACCTTAAAAATGGATGACATTTTATTTAATGGTAAATAAATAACAACAAAATAATGTGAAATTAAATATTGGTTACTATGGTCCAAACAAACAGACGTTTCCCAAGGCCATAAGAAATCCCAGTGACAAATTCACAACAAGCAGGTGCCCCTTCAGTGAAATTTACAAATACAGGTATCATGTTTCCATATGTTGTAAAAACCAAAATCATATCAAAATTGTCATTTATTTTTACACAACAAAACTGAAAGATCTCAGTGGCACAAGACCTGGAGGTAAGTGTTGTTCATCAACTTAATAAAAAGTCAATATTTAACGATTACTTAACAATGATAATAAGTTTTACACCAAACAGAACAAAAAGATCTAATCAGAAACCATATCAAGTTTACATGTACTTTTCTAATTTTCTTTTGAATATCGATGTCCATGTACGTAGATTGCCATCATGATGATGTCACTATATTATACAAGCTAAATTTATAAAAGGCAACAACAAAGGTCCATTGAATAATAATTATTGATACAGAATCAATTCTATCTTTAATGTGAATGATAAACAATGAGTATAAATAAGTTTAATGTGTCCATTCTCCTAAGCTAACATGCATTTCAATCACATAATTAACAAAGTCTATAACAGTCTGACTAGCTGAGCGCGGACCTGGAGTGAGTGGGGGAGTAAGATCCACTCCTCAGTCTAGCTGAGCGCGGACCTGGAGCGTGTGGGGGAATAAGATCCACTCCTCAGTCTAGCTGAGCGCGGACCTGGAGCGTGTGGGGGAGTAAGATCCACTCCTCAGTCTAGCTGAGCACGGACCTGGAGCGTGTGGGGGAGTAAGATCGACTCCTCAATCTTTGGGGGGATGGAGATCTACTGCGAGCTGCCTTCTCATTGTTAACAATGGTCTTCAGGTTTCCTAGGTGATGAAGAGCTCTAAAATAAACAATAAATTATTAAAGAGAGTAAACATAGGTAATCAGAGATTACAGAGCTCACCTCAACAAATGTTGTCTTTAAGTAAGGCAAAGTCACACAATTAACCAACAAAAAGTGTACATCCAAAAATGCAAAATTTATGCAATTTTGATTTGATACTTTGGAATAGACCTATATAAAAACTTAAAACCAGTTTTTCATCATGAAAACGTAATTAAAATCCAGCATCTGAAGCAATTTTGAGAGTTTTCATCCCTTGATGCATCATTTGTGCAAGTTTGGTTTATATAAGCCTTATAGTTTTTTGGTAATAGACCTGCACCCATAACTTTTACGAGGTCCATCATCTGGAAAATGTATGTCGAATTCAGCATCTGAAGCAAGTCCATTTGTGTGCATCCTAAGATGTATCATCCATGCAAGTTTGCTCAACATAGAGCTCAAAGTTACTTGGAAATGAAACCTGTATAAAAAACTAACCTTTTCACTAATCCAGAAAATGTAGGTCAGATTCAGTATCCAAAGCCAACCTAGTAGAATGCACCCTTAGATGTACCATCCATGCAAGTTTGGTCATTATAGGGCTCAAAGTTACTTGGAAATGAATCCTGCACCAAAACTTCAACCTGTTCACTCGTTCAGAAAATGTAGGTCAGATTCAGCATCCGAAGCAATTCTGGTAGTGTGCATCCTAAGATGTACCATCCATGCAAGTTTGGTCATTATATGGCTCATATTAACTTGGAAATGAAACCTGCACCAAAAACTTTTATCTGTTCACTCAACCGGAAAATGTAGGTCAGATTCAGCATCCGAAGCAAGTCTGGTAGTATGCATCCTTAGATGTATCATTCATGCAAGTTTGCTCACTATAGTCTCATAGTTACTTGGAAATGAGACCTGCACCGAAAACTTAAACCTGTTCACTCATGCGAAAAATGTAGGTCAGATTCAGCATCCGAAGCAAGCCTGGTAGTGTGCATCCTAAGATGTACCATCCATGCAAGTTTGGTCAACATAAGGCTTATAGTTACTCGAAAATGAGACCTACACCAAAAACTGCACCAAAAATTTTAACCTGCTCCAAAAACATTAACCTGGTAATTCCTTTGCTGAAATTGCAGCATCTGAAACTTGATTGGTACAATGAAACATACTAGAAACATCTCCCATGCATGTCTAATCAATATAGGACACAGAAGTACTTAAAAAGAAAACTGCTCCAAACAAGAGGCCCATGGGCCACATCGCTCACCTGAGAAGCTTTGACCATTCTGTTCTTTAGCAGATTTCACCCTTGTTATACATAATGCATCCCCATCCTACCCCACTGATCATAATTTAGACATTTTGAAATCTACACTACCACATGATCCTTCCATGGGCACATATGTTTCAGCTTTTTGGCCCAGTGGTTCCCGAGAAGAAGATTTTCAAAGATTTTTCCTATATATTTCTATGTAAAACTTTGATTCCCTATAATGGCCCCGCCCTTCCCCCGGGGGTCATGATTCCTACAATTTAAAATTTACACTACCCCAGAATGCTTCCACATAAGCTTCACTTTTTCTGGCCCAGTGGTTCTTAAGAAGAAAATTTTCAAAGATTTTTCCTATATATTTCTATATAAAACTTTGATTCCCCATTGTGGCCCCACCCATCCCCCGGGGGTCATTAATTGAACAATTTAGAATCTACATTATACCAGGATGCTTCCACATAAGTTTCAGCTTTTCTGGCCCAGTGGTTCTTGAGAAGAAGATTTTCAAAGATTTTTCCTATATATTTCTATGTAAAAATTTGATACCCCATTGTGGCCCCGCCCTTTCCCTGGGGGTCATGATTTGAACAATTTAGAATCTACACTATACCAGGATGCTTCCACATAAGTTTCAGCTTTTCTGGCCCAGTGGTTCTTGAGAAGAAGATTTTCAAAGATTTTTCCTATATATTTCTTTATAAAACTTTGATTCCCCATTGTGGCCCCACCCATCCCCCGGGGGTCATTATTTGAACAAATTAGAATCTACATTATACCAGGATGCTTCCACATAAGTTTCAGCTTTTCTGGCCCAGTGGTTCTTGAGAAGAAGATTTTCAAAGATTTTTCCTATATATTTCTATGTAAAACTGTGATTCCCCATTGTGGCCCCGCCCTTCCCCCGGGGGTCATGATTTGAACAATTTAGAATCTACACTGTACCAGGATGCTTCCACATAAGTTTCAGCTTTTCTGGCCCAGTGGTTCCTGAGAAGAAGATTTTCAAAGATTTTTCCTATATATTTCTATGTTAAACTTTGATTCCCCATTGTGGCCCCGCCCTTCCCCCGGGGGTCATGATTTGAACAATTTAGAATCTACACTGTACCAGGATGCTTCCATATAAGTTTCAGCTTTTCTGGCCCAGTGGTTCTTGAGAAGAAGATTTTCAAAGATTTTTCCTATATATTTCTATGTAAAACTTTGATTCCCCATTGTGGCCCCGCCCTTCCCCCTGGGGTCATGATTTGAACAATTTAGCATCTACACTACCCCAGGATGCTTCCACATAAGTTTCAGCTTTACTGGCCCAGTGGTTCTTGAGAAGAAGATTTTTTAATGACCCCACCCTATTTTTGTCTTTTCTTGATTATCTCCCCTTGCGAGGGGATATGTCCCTTCATTTTAACAATTTAAATTCCCCTTTACCCAAGGATGCTTTGTATCAAGTTTGGTCAAAATTGGCCTAGTGGTTCTTGAGAAGAAGTCGAAAATGTGAAAAGTTTACAGACGGACAGACAGACAGACGGACGGACGACGGACAAAATGTGATCAGAAAAGCTCACTTGAGCCTTCGGCTCAGGTGAGCTAAAAACTTAACCTTAACCCGGGACGCCGACACCGATGGCATTACATAAGCTCCCCCAACTTCGTTGAGGTGAGTTAAAAATGCCTCTGTATTACATAATTATATATTTGATTGAAATACTTACAATACACATACTTATTATAGCTGATATATTTAAGGTCAAGATCTAGTAAATGAAAGATGCCTACAAAGGATCACTTCATTATAAATAGGGATCTGACCTATAGGACCGGGCTTGGTTTTTTTCTGTACAAAAACCTTGTCGATTTCCGTTCTGATTAATGACATTAGGCTAAATACATCTAACAATTTGGTTTTTCCTAAATCTTTATTTCAGTGAGTAAAGGTACATGTAGGAGGAACCCTTACATTGATTTTCTGAGTTTGTTATCTCCAAATGTAATAATTGATATTTTTCTTTACTTGCATTGTACATAATGGTAATGTTTACTGCCTCTGAAATTCTATTCTTTATGTCTAGGCTATTTTATCCATGAATATAATAAAACATGCCATTAATGTGTGCAAATTATACAGGCCTAAATCAAATCCGAGGGAGTACAGTCACTTACCCAAAATCAATGTTATTAAATTCTAAGGAGTATATATAACTGACTTTCATCGCAGCTCAATGCTGCCAAGAATACCTGTATTGAGTAACACAGAGTGAGTTATTCTTGTCCTAAGAGAAAGTGTGCTTATACTGAGGTTTGTTCCGCCTGACTGACAACTGTACATTGGATTTTTACGATTTGATATCTCTTTATAATGTTTCTTATATCAAGAATGGGCAATTGGGCATGCATAAATGATAGATAATTGAAGGAAAATACACAAGTCTATAAAAAAATATTAAAATAGTCTTTGAAAAGGCGAAAATTAAAAACTTTAAAAGTGTGGTACCAGGTGGATTCGAACCCCTGACTTTAAAATGTTTGTTTACACTAGGGCTGGGTATTGGCCCGAGATTTCGTATTGCGATATATTGCGATATTTGAAACTGTATTGCGATATGTATTGCAATATTTACAATGTAATTTAAATGGCATTTTCTTACTATATTTACTTTAATTTACATGCAGAATGTACATCACTATGACAAGTAACCAACACTGACAAAAAAATTGTTGATTTCATTAAAGTTATGCTCTGAAATTTTCCCACAAAACAACATCCGTCGTACTGTTTGGCTTAATAACAAACTTTTAAGCCCAATTTTAATATTTAATGACAAAACTCCTTAATCTAAGCATATTGCCAATATATCGATATTACAAAATCGTATTGCGATACGATATTTTTTGTCATTGTATTGCAATATATTGAAATATCGATATTATTGCCCAGCCCTAGTTTACACGGTGTAAAAGTCAGCACTTAAATCAACTGAGCTAGTCTGACTATGATATTTAGTGGTATAAATTTGAAGCAGATTATCAAAATCAGGTTTCCTTATTTTTTGTAGGTTTTTTGTGAATTTCGACCCGAGGGCAGGGGTGCCCCTAAAAAAATCCTATGTTAAATCATTCCTTACATCCTAACCTATCAAAATATCACAATTTTATTTAGGGGCAGGCCTGCCCTGAAGGACTTCTAGGCCAAAATTCATGCAAAAATCAACGCTTTAACGGACAAAATGGTGTTTCAGCCAATTTTGGAGGTTTATTGTAAAGTTGTAAATAATAAATTTTAGGTATAAAATACAAATTTGAAAAATTTAGACATATATACGATAGAAAACAACAAATAAAGATTAATATTTAGATGTCACTTTTTCCGGGAAATTGTTTTCTCCTATAGGTCAATTCTTTTGTTAAAGTGAATACATCCTTTGTTGAATTTGAGAAATAAATTCCTTTAATGATACTTTACAAATTTTCCCGTACTTCACGGCTTTAGCAGAATTATATAGGAAATAGGTATTTTCGTGGCATTCAATTTGAAATCAAATGAAAAGCAATCCCGATACCTATATTAAATTTGATATTATTTTAAAGAAGAGGCCATGAACATACAAATTACCGTTTTCCGAGAGATTGTAGGCAATCTGGATATATTTCCTTTATTGAATGTGGAAAAAACTTTCTTATTCATGAAAGGTTTTCTTAATTTTTCATTGAAATTGACTGTTTAAAATATGGTTTTTCATCTTGTTTACCTACAAATTAGGACTGGAAACACTTTATTTGGCCTAGCTAAAGTTATAAAGCATCATTAAAGGAATATATTTCTCAAGTTTGATAAATCTAAGCATCTTTTGTTTACTAGATATTGACCTTCATAAGCTTTCGGGCGACTTTAAGTCCACTGATTTAGTACATGCTAACTTATGATTTAAGATTTAATCAAGTAAATTTATAAGCTTAGTACAATATTTCCCGACTTGTCATTATACAGAACAGTTGTTGAGAAAGGTTGAGCTTTTATGATTGTATGTTTACAGTATTAATGAACTGTTACTAATACATACTTTTCTAGGGACTGTCCCCCGGGCTGCTCTTTCCAGTTGTAACCCTCCAGGGCAGGAATATCTTCCTCAGGTCTCTCTGTATTAGGAGCTCCAGCCTAAAAAAAAAATTGCATAATTTTCATTTCTTAGAAGATTTCTTGGGTTTTTCTCTTATGCTCTTTAGACAATGATGAAGAATTTTTTTCCCCATTTATATCCCCTCTTGAAGATTTTTAGGCTTATATTGTATGAAGATATAACTGATTCAAAATTGTTTCTAATGAATTTTAGTGTTGGATTTTGCTTATAATAAATTTTTGTTTACAGCACAGTGAATTTCATTCCAAATGACTTTAAAATATACTGTAAACTTAATGGATATAACAAATTACACATATAACAAAGCAAAATTGTCCATCCTTGGCACTTTGTTATAAGCTTGTTTTACTGTACATAGTACTTCGATTTTGTATGTTAGCTTACCTGTAGATTTTCTATGGTGGTAAGATTTACCATTCTCTATGTTAGCTTACCTGTAAATTTTCTATGGTGGTAGGATTTACCATTCTCTATGTTAGCTAACCTGCAGATTATGGTGGAAGGATTTACCATTCTCTATGTTAGCTAACCTGCAGATTATGGTGGTAGGATTTACCATTCTCTGTGTGAACTTACCTGTAGATTTTCTATGATGGTAGGATTTACCATTCTCTATGTTAGCTAACCTGTAGATTTTCTATGGTGGTAGGATTTACCATTCTCTATGTAAACTTACCTGTAGATTTTCTATGGTGTTAGGATTTACCATTCACTGTGTGAACTTACCTGTAGATTTTCTATGGTGGTAGGATTTACCATTCTCTATGTAAACTTACCTGTAGATTTTCTATGGTTGTAGGATTTACCATTCTTTGTGTTAGCTAACCTGTAGATTTTCTATTGTAGTAGGATTTACCATTCTCTATGTAAACTTACCTGTAGATTTTCTATGGTTGTAGGATTTACCATTCTCTATGTTAGCTTACCTGTAGATTTTCTATTGTAGTAGGATTTACCATTCTCTATGTTAGTTTACCTGTAGATTTTCTATGGTGGAAGGATTTACCATTCTCTATGTTAGTTTACCTGTAGATTTTCTATTGAAGTAGGATTTACCATTCTCTATGTTAGCTTACATGTAGATTTTCTATGGTTGTAGGATTTACCATTCTGTATGTTAGCTTACCTGTATAATTTCTATGGATGTAGGATTTACCATTCTCTTTGTTAGCTAACCTGCAGATTTTCTATGGTGGTATGATTTACCATTCTCTATGTTAGCTAACCTGTAGATTTTCTATGGTGTTAGGATTTACCATTCACTGTGTGAACTTACCTGTAGATTTTCTATGGTGGTAGGATTTACCATTCTCTATGTTAGCTCACCTGTAGATTTTCTATGGTGGTAGGACTTACCATTTTCTATGTTAGCTAACCTGTAGATTTTCTATGGTGGTAGGATTTACCATTCTCTGTGTTAGCTTACCTGTAGATTTCTATGGTGGTAGGATTTACCATTCTCCGTGTTAGCTAACCTGTAGATTTTCTATGGCGGTAGGATTTACCATTCTCTATGTTTGCTTACCTGTAGATTTTCTATGGTGGTAGGACTTACCATTCTCTATGTTAGCTTACCTGTAGATTTTCTATGGTGGTAGGACTTACCATTCTCTATGTTAGTATACCTGTAGATTTTCTATGGTGGTAGGATTTACCATTCTCTATGTTAGCTTACCTGTAGATTTTCTATGGTGGTAGGATTTCCTGCTGCATGTGCTGCAGCCTCAGTTTGTAGCTTAAACAACATGTTCTTTAAGGCCTCCAAACTACCAGGTTGTGGAGTGCCTGTCAGTGTGTCTGTCTGTAAGTCATCATCCACTGTTACTACTGGGGGCTTCCTAAAATTAAAAATTCATATCAGAATTTGTATCATTAATTTGTGCAAAAGATATTTCCTTTATGAAGACTTGATTCTTTGTTTTTTTAATTAAACGGGTCATGTGATGTCATAAGTGTATTTCACAACATGTATCTAAATTTAGCATCATATTCAGGTTAGAATATGACATCTGTTAAATGTCTAGGACTATTTTCTACAGTTATAAGCAATAGGTTCTTACAGATTGGGTAGTACAGGTTTCTCCCAGGAGCGATCACCATCCAGTACCATATCTGTGTCAGGGCTCCGCGCTCTGTTAGAAGTCCCAGGCCGTGCTGGGGATTGATCTGTAATACAAAATTACATCAATAAACAGTTATAACATTACCTTTTTAATTTCCAAAGAAGCAAAATCAAAATATATACATTGTATGTATTATATATATGGTTAACAAGGTATTTTGTTTAATACTGTGGTTTCATCAATAATCGTTGAACACAAATTATCAAATATTTAGTTGTTGTGCAGATCCACGAAATTAAATGTGAATTGACTTAAGAAATATATTATTCATTTGTACAGGTTATGCTTTTGTCCATGAAATTAAGAATACATGAAAACATCTGTTTTACAAAGTCCACGAAAACTGATGTCAACAAAAATTGATAAAACCACGGCATTTATTCTTTCAAGATTTAAATTCAACTTGCACCAACTTGCAATTGAGTTTGTTGAATCTGAATAAATGTAATACATTGTAATATGTTTGAGTAATACTTGTCACATAAACATACACCCTGGTACAAAATAAAAATATATTTTCTTTTTTTTACATTTACAGTAAAGAATAGAAATATCTTAGGTTTTTTTTAAAACATTTATATTAACACTAAAAAGAGAGAAAATATTTTGTTTTCATTCACTTACGAGGGGCGTTCAATAAATAATGTCATTGGGGCTCAGAAAGAAGCAAGTGACGCTTTTCAATGATTTAGTCTTCATGATTTTACTTATTTATCTCTTTTAATTCAAACACATGTCCGTAACATTTATCCAATTTCTGATTGTTTTTAGAACTCATTTTTGGGTATGACCCTTATACTGGAAAATGGCAGATCTTTTCCTGGACTTGTTTTTTCCTTCTGAAAGGTGTTTTTTTTCAAGTTTAGAAATAGAAACAAGTCAAAAGATCAAAGATCTGGCAAATATTGTTAATGTGAAAAAACATTAACTTTCTGTTTATCCCGTAAACCCCTTTACTCTTTACCTGCGGGTTTGAACGCTGTCATGAAGAAATTCAATGTAGTGGATTCCTGATTCTGGGTCCTTTCTCTGATAAACCTTTCGATTTCTTTGCAAAAAACTGCTCTCTAGACACCTCCAGATACTAAACTGTCTCCCCGAATACGAATTTGAACAATAATACCACTAATATTTAAGAAAATTGCATTTAAATCTGTCTTCGTGCTCTTGCATACCTTTTCTCTTGTCAGACCTTCGAAATTCGCCGTTTTTATCAAGTACATCTTATGTTAAATTTTGTTTTAATGGTTTTAAGCAATAGATTCATGTTCCAATACCTGTTTGAATATGAAACAAACGTGTATTACTACAATTACTGATATTTTAAAATAATTGTTAAGACTACAACTCATTTTTCAAAATACAGGGTGACCTTAGAGTACCAAGCTTAATTACTTCAAACGTTTCAAAAACAGTGTAAACTACTCCCGATATGATGTCTATCAAATTTGCTATGTGTCTTAAAGTCAATCATACAACATCAAATATTATTTGTTGAAATTTGGCAAACAGTACATAAGCTATTATAATTTTTGTTGGCAAGGAGGGTACCCATTTTTGATGCCCATTATATAATTTTTTATCATTGAAATCCACCTGCTAATTTGTCTATAAAACAGGCATTGGTTGCTTTAAATGTCACATATTTCTGTGAATATTTCTTTCGGATTTTTAACAAGTTTTACAGCAGCTTTAATGTAGCTTTTATTTTCACTCTAGTTTACTGATTCTTTACCATTCATTTATAATGCAGTGTCTCGAATAGCCCTTGTTTCCAAGCTTCTCACGATAAACCTATGTGATGAAAAGTGGTCACATAAACTGTTATAAATTCATTAAAGATTCAATAATGAGAGAAAGTCAAGCTTTATGTCATACGACTGCTATGCTGTATGTCATCGAGCTAATGACATTATTTATTGAACGCCCCTCGTATACTTGACAGTTATCTTGACCTTCATGTTTACCTGGGACAATAGGGCTTGCTCCTGTGATGTCACTTTTGTTAGGTGCCGATATTCCTGCTAACAATGCCTCAGTATCCAAGCTAGAACATCGAGGGGGACGGGACACATCATAAGAGTTATCTGCCTTTGTTGAAGTTTCTAAATATTTTTCTAAAATATCACTGCTATTTGCACTAGTGTTTCCAGCCTTCAGTACTTCTGGTGCCAACTTGCTGGAGAAATTGTAGGCTTTACGACTTGACTTTGGTGACTTTAAAGAAGATTTGCCTGGTGATTTGGATAGTAAATCATTAAAATCTAGACCAGGGGGGTTTGAGTCATGTGATCTATTAAAATTTGACTGTGCCACATTTTCTGAGAAGCCCACTCGCTTCTGAGGTAGATCAGCAGTAACACTAGTAATATCAGATTTATCTAGTCCTTGAACCCAGCTAGGAGCAGGCCTACCAGACACAAGATCTCTCTTGGACCAAAAGCTCTCACTAGGATTGGAAATATCAAGGGCATCGATCCAGCTGGGAGGCTTCTTGCTCTCAGACAAATCTAAATCATAGCTTTTCACTGGAATGTCATAAGCCTGTCTGGCTGGATTGCTGGCTAGCCTCTCATGATGTCTGAATGAAGATGGAGACACGGACCTACTTCTCTCCCTTGGCTGGGAGGACTTGTAGCTGGTCGGGGGAGGAAGATTGGCCAGACCACTCCGCCGTGATCCCAGAATGTCTTCTACACTAGAGAGGTCCCTTTTCTGAGGGGCAGCCCCCACTGTCTTGGACCGGTTCCTGGGGTTTTTATACGAGTATACATGTCCTCTCTTTGGTGCGGCTGTCCCCAGCTTCATATTAATCAGTGTGTCTGTATTGACACTCTCGATGTCACTGGGTCCCTCCTTAGGTAAGGGCTCATCATGAGCTATCCTATGTAATAACTCCCCTGATTTGTTTAATGCTTCATCCACTGAAAATTCAAAATGTATTCTATCAACTAATTGTACGATTGAAATTAAGGTTTTATAAAACTAAAAAAACCTCATACCCTTCTGCAAGAGTAATACACTGTATGTATATTCAATTTTTCTTTAATAGCAAACACATATCCCATGTTGATTGACCCATCAATATGAAATCATAGCATTAGTTTTTTATTAGTATCACGCATTCTCTCCTCCATAACTTCAAACATTCAACATGTTTTACTTTAAATGAATAGTTATTAATATGTCTATATCTCCAGTTACCAGTATATTTACTTTTCTCACAAGGCTTCAAATATATAGTAATTGATTTTAATTTTTTTTTAAATTATTTTTATCTTTAGTTTGATAAAGTGAGAATAAAACACAATTATAAAAATGCCTTGTGATATCATATTTGTTTATTATGAGTTAAACTACTTTTTATAGACCCCACTTACAGTTTTTTTTCTGTTTTTAATTCAATTATTATCCATATACGTGTAGATAGTTTTCAATAGACACAATTTTATCAAGACTGAATTATTTTCCATTGGTCACCATATTGGAGGTATACAAGCCCGAATTCCTTCATTTTTCAATCAAATTTCTCATGTTGTGTAACTGGGTAAAGGTAACACATTTTTCTTATGAATTTATGTTAATACAAGCTATCTTTGATTTGTAATGTTGGTGTTTAAAAATTTTTGCCCTTATATTTCTACCATACAAATTTAAAATTGGGTGCTCAAAGAGGAAAATTCACTAGTTGGGTCTCCAATGGGAAATAACTCTTGCTAATTTCAGGCCTATCGAAAACTATCCATTCATGTTGAACTGTATATAATGATCACAACATGAGAAGTACTTCACAATGGAGGGACAAAGAATAAAGATACTGTTCAATCAAATATTTAACAAATGGAGATATAAACTGATTACATTTGTAAAGCCCAATAGTCAAGCCACAGTAAATGAAATGTTTTTTCCTGCAAAATTTTACAGAATTATGATACCAAAAGGGGTTTTACATAAAGTGTATAAGTTATTGTCTTTTTTAAATTGATAAATTGCCATAAATATTTCTTTATTTATTAATTATCTTCTTTAAGTTCTAGTATAAAGCTGCCCCAAGAACTTCCTATGGTTCTTACTGCAGAAAAAAGATTACTTATAAAATGAAAACAAAAACAACAGATAATGCAATATGGAAGATTATTAAATAAGCTATATAACATAGAGAAATAGAGTATATGAAATGTTAGCTTTAGTATGAGTATGATAAGCATTATGAGGTCTGGATTACATGGTGTACAATTAGAAGTGCATGCATACCTCTGTCAACTTTCCAATAACCTGCTAATATATATGTACAGGATCCCAGCTAAGTCACAGACAGCTCAAAACAACATACACAGATTTACCATATATAATACACCTGCTCATCCAAACAAAGCATACAATATACAGTATCCCAGCTCATCAGCACACAATAATATATAGACATAATATACAATATCCCAGTTCGTTGTAAACAGCACACAATAATATACTGTAAAACGAGAATATTTGGCGCACTACTAATTTTAGCGCCTTTGGCGCAAGAGCCCCTGAGCGCTAAAATTTATCGTGCGCTAAAGGATTTTTAAATATCATTTTTTGTGTGTGTTCAAAGCTTTTACATAAGTACATGTAAACCGGAATGCGCGATTACGTAATGCCGAGGGGTCATTGGATTTTATATACACACTAGCACTGCACATGTACGGATGACAGAAAGTTCTGCCAAATTATAATTTAATTAAACTATTGTTACCCCGGTAGCTGTTACCGGATAATTATCATTAGTACCTTCAAAGTTTGGCTTCTCGGCGTGTCAATATATCGCCTCGAGGTAAACAATGCAATCAAGCATGGCGATTGAGCTTGCAGACAATACCTGATTAGGATTACCGTTTTATCTGACATGCATGCATTCTTTTAATGTGATTTGAATGAGTAAATACTCCATTTCTTTTATATGAAAATAGAAATAAAATAAATCTTAACATTGTACCACGTCCATGTGATAGCAACACGTACCGCGGTAAAGGTAACGAATGTTTACTGATATACGGGAGTACTAATATGTTTCAGTGCTTGACTAACCAAAAAGTCAAATACGGGTGTGGATTAAAAAAAAACCAAAATATTACATTTATATATTTTACTGACAAGTGCAAGCGCTAAAATTTATTTGCGCCAATGTACTCCCACTTACGTTTGCGCTAAAATATGTATGCGCCAAATTTTCTCGTTTTACAGTATAAACACAAAGTATATAATATCCCAGCTCATCAGAATCACACCGAGTATGGAGGCATGCTTTGGCCAGTGATGTTAAAGAAGTCTTTGAAGAAATTTTACACCCGATGCTTATAAACTATGTATGCACATGTATTCTGAGATATAAAACATGCAAGTGGAACCAATATATGCCAAAATATATACATGATACCTCAAATTGAGTCTGTCTGCTATATATAAGGGTTGTCTATAAAGTTAACAAACAACGATGTTTTCTCATACTCCATAGTCCTTGATATACATTTTGTATTCCAAAACACTGAGTGTTTTGTTTTAATAGGGTTGACAGAAGGTCAGAGACAAACTAATTATTCAAATGTCTAAAAATTATTGGAATATCTTTAGTTTATTAGAGTGTAATTGGTAATCAAGATATTTTAACAGTGCATACAAAATGCAAAACACTGGACTGGACTGTAGAGGCAGTGAATTCAAATTGTTTTCCCTGATGATGTTTGTAAATCATTGTGTACTGATTTTGAATTCATGTACTCATTTATGATCCATATGTACCTGATGTAACATTATTGTACACACTCAGCAGAGACATATAAATGGTTTTATATGTGTCTGCACTCAGCAATGTGGCATAACAAAGAATTTTTTGACATTATCATGATACTAACTAATGTCAGACTGGGTGATAAGTATAATTTTCATAAAATAGTTGGTATTGTTTAATTTTTAACTTTTATTAAATCAAAGTCTACATTAAAATAATATCATACACATCTGATTTTGACTGTGGGATTGTTTCTAGAAAATTACAGCATTTGTCTGCAAACTTTTTAAGGCAACCCTTGTATATATATATATATACATAGTAAAGTGATTTCATATAGCACTGATATCAAATGTCAAATTAATGCTATAATTCTTTTCTATGCTAAATCAGAGACATATAAAACCATTATTTTATATGTCTCTGGCTAAATATTTTGACATATATTGCATGAGCATGAGCATGAGCATGAATGTAACAAGGGAAATAATTCATGGTGCAGGATGTGCAATAAAAAAGAAATCTGGCCTACTAAATATTCATAAACTTTAACCTATAAATCTGATTTAAACAACTTAAAAGATGTGTCATTTTATTTATTTCCTTCATATTCTTCAAGACAGTATATCAAATTTAACTCATACAACAATGGTCATGCTGACGTAAATGATTCTTGATAGAAACAAGTCTGCAAAATTGTACAAATTTTTGCAAAAGAAAATACTTTGTCAAAACATGACGTGAATGAACTACTTTCAAAACATGCCTTCCCTCTCTCTACACTTTACACCAGGATCTTACCATGTCTGTTCCTTCTTTTCCGATCTGAGGCCATTACAAAAACAGGAAGTTTACATGCAACTTCGTTATCATGACAAATGACTTAAACTTTTAAACTGATTGTCATTCTAATTTGAATAAATTCTGGAAAATATATATATTTTTTAAATTGTGTAATGACAACTTTTATGAAAATATGGAGTTAATTCATAAATGTGCAATACAGAATATCAGTCCTGATTATTCTGAACTTCAACAAAAATGTTTGGCTCCAGCATTAGAGTTACAATTAAAAGTATGATGGGTGACAATTGTAGTGCATTTATGAAATTGATATACAAGTGAATAATAAAAAAGCTATTATGAATAGTGTTTTTGGATTGGTGTTTTGCTTCTAAACCATAACTATATATAACTAGAAATGTCCAAACGGGACAAAATACCCCCCTCTGGGTTTTTCAGAAGTAAGTTTTTCCATAATAAAGATATGTATCAAACATGAATTTTGAAATTTTTCTTCCAGTGACCTTGAACTTCCCCAAATGACCTTGGGTCAAGGTCAAGACACACCCTTGGGTCATGGGCAATCTTTGTGTGAAATGACAACCTACCAAGTTTATCCACATGAATTATGAATTTTTTTTTCCAGACCTATGACCTTGGGTCAAGGTCATGACACACCCTTGGATGGGCATGTGTGAAATTATGAAATTTTTCCAATGACCTTGAAGTTCCCAAAATGACCTTGGGTCAAGGTCATGACACACCCTTTGGTCATGGGCAATCTTTGTGTGAAATGAGAACCTACCAAATTTATCCATAAGAAAGATATGGATCGGACACGAATTATGAAATTTTTCTTCCAGTGACCTTGAACTTCCCTACATGACCTTGAGTCAAGGTCATGACACACCCTTGGGTCATGGGCAATCTTTGTGTGAAATGACAACCTACCAAGTTTATTCATAAGAAAGATATGGACCGGACACAAATTATGAAATTTTTCTTCAGTGACCTTGAACTTCCCCAAATGACCTTGGGTCAAGGTCATGACACACCCTTAAGTCATAGGCAATTTTTGTGTGGAGTAGTAGATTCTAATGTCCCTCTGTAAGAAAGATATGGACCGGACACGATTGCACAGACAGACGGACAGCTAGACAGACAGACGGACATGGTGATTCCTATATACCCCCCAAACTTCGTTTGCGGGGGGTATAATAATATGCCAAATATTGGAGAGAAAAAACATGGGGCTGGGTTGAAAAACTACAATCTGAAACTATTTATCATATATCTTAAGGTATCACTACTGAAAACCTAAATATTTTCTTAAACAGGTAAAAATTCTAGGTCTTTGATTCTTATAGGGTAAGTATATTCTATAACTTTCCAAATCTATAAATACCTTCAGCTCTGAGGGCCATGCTCCTTTTCATTTTGTCGTAGGATTCATTGATGGATTCCCTGGCGGTGGCCAGCTGGAGTTCAGTGGCGGTGTCCCGGACTCCTGTCTGTAGAGATCGCTCTGCAGTGAGGTGGAGAGCAGACTTAGGATCCAACAGATCCGACACATTCTGCTTATATCGACCTTTATGTTTGGAGGTCAAACCTAAAATATACACATACAATTTAGAAAAAAAGAAACTCATTTATCTGCAAAAGAATACCTGATCGATTTTGCAGACTTTCCATGCATGTATTAATGGCTTCAGATGTCAGCTACAGACTGGGTGAGACTAAGAGTAGGATTAAATGTATCTAAAGACGTCATTATAGCTCATATTAAATAGCCAAGTCTTTCTGTTAAGGATGTGACTGATAGTAAATTTTACTGTTATCAAGAGTTATATTATAGCTATAAAGCCAGAGTCTGATTTGAAAATTTGTAATAATTCCAAATTTTCAATACAAAACTTTGTCTTACCGTCAACAATCTTGTGTAAATCACTAAATCACTAGATGACTAGTTTGATTACCTGCGTACTGGTCCAGGTAAGCTTCCAGGGCCTCTGAGGCAGATGTAAAGTCTCGGTTTCCCACCTTGATCCGGGAACCATTGCACCTGATCCTGTTCAGCCCATGTAGAAAGTCTGTGGGTGCTGGGTCCACATCCATTGTCATACTGTGTTATAGAGGGGGCTCTTACTTCATTGTACATGTATTACCACCAAAGTTGGCTGTTAGCTTTCCCTATGGTATAATCAAAGTCATCCTATTATAAACCTAAAATTAAAAATTTGTCATTCAAACACTGTAAACTTAAATGGACAGAAAATATCTACTGGCATTTAATTGCTTTATTGCATGCTGACCAAGTATGATAATGTAGCAGTGCACATAATCCTTTTGTAGTAAACCATTTAATTTTATTGTTGGTAATTCCAATTAATCGGGTCATAGGTAACACAGTGTGTACATCTAAATCTTTGAGGATCAAGTTATCTTGTAGAGACAATTAAATGACTGGAGGGTTTAAATCATTACATTTTTATTTCATGTTCTTTTTTGCATGCCTCAATAAATGTACAACTTCATCAACACTATTTCTAATCATTTTAAACTTTATCAGATTTTTTGATATGTAAATGACACACTCTAATACACGTAATGAACCTGACAATATTAGAGGAGAATGTCCAACATTCCATGTGCTTTGCCAATTTAAAAAATGTATGAATTTATCATATAAAGTAAGAAATCAATTAATAGTGTTTAATCAATATATTCATATGCATGTGTATTTATTAACACATTGTGTTCATCACAAATATACTGCTGCAGTAGTTAATAACTTTTTTTGGAAATCAATCAATGCAAACAATCAATTTAAAGAGGAGAACTGCAAAACTGCAGTAAATAAAGCTTGCCTTAATTATTTTTAACCAATTTATAAACTGAGATCCTAGATGGGACTCAAAGTAAAACAGTTAATATGGCCTCAAAACTTACAATGAAGATTTCTCGATAGTTGCTTATAATGCAGGTTACAACGAAGTCCATAGTTATAATAATATCCATTCAATGATTGTAATATGTTTAGGGTTATTCTTGTCCACGAATTGGTAGCCAGCCAGTAAATATACCTAACAATACATGGAATTCTAAACAAAATCAGATAACAAAGTCTTGTCAGTAAGTGCAGTTAGTCTAAATACAGGTAAATCCCTAACACAAACAATGGACAGAGGAACTGCTAAGCTTACCCACTATATGTCTCATAAAGACCAAGTATAATATCAGTATTGTAATCCTCTGGTCACCTATCTGTGTATTCTATAGCACCAGGCTATATCTTTCTTATGACTGTTATAAGGAATCCAAGAAACTGTGGAGTACTCTCATATCCAAGCACAGACCTGCTTTAAATCCAGAATGAAAATATTTTAAATGTCTGACAGCAGTCAAATAACTCATACTGGCTCCATGAAAAACAGAAAATAAAACCTAATCCTCAAGTTGAATAGACAGTTATTGTGCGGGTCTCAATCTTGTGAGAGGCCTATTGTGAATTACTACCAATTACTTTTCCCTTTAAGTTGCTAATGGTTTAACGAGTTTTCGAAGCATATACATGTACATATATGAATTCCATTGATATGTTTCACAATTTTTTCTAAAAGTTTTGTATATATGTCCCTACTAATTGAAGTTTTTAATTTCTGTACAAGCAATTTAATCATTTATCAATATTTTCTGCCAAAATTAAACCATCTTTGAGAAAACTTGTTACATAGTCCAAAAAGTACCCCTTAAAGATTTGGACAAGCATATACACATATGCCATCTTGTAGTTTGCCCAGGATTAAACCTACATTCAAGGCCATATTTTGACTGTTTTACTTAAATCACATAAATCAGAGAGACCCTCTTTTTATTGATACGTATCTGTACACAAGAAAATCTTTATTAAGTAACACAGGTGAGAAAGCAACTGCTAAAATGGAGTGGTATTGACAGACTTAAATCCCATCGATTTTTTTTATTACCAACCAAGGAAAATCCTTCAAGGTAATAAATTTTACAGCCAAAAAGCAAGACACCGACTTGTCAAAGTAAATAGATTTCACAAGCATACCTGTCACTGTGTAAAATAAAAAAAGTATCCACTAAAGGGATAAAAACCTTCACAAAATGAATATGCAATACATGTACAAGTAGTCCCTCTACTTTTGATTTTATGATACTTTACAAATACTTTATATATAAGCGCTGACCCATATATTTGCAACCAAAACTTCATTGCCATACTGCTTCTCTAATCTCTACTTATCATTAAAGAAATGTGTTTATCAATGCACGTCTTGGATAAGCCTTCAGTATACTATCACAGAGTATGGTGTTTGGTCAACAGCGGGAAATGTTGATATTGGTTTCTCTGTCTTATTTACACATTCGAGATTTGTCTTTATTGTTATACTGGTCCTTTGATGAATTATATACCAGAGCTTTATAGACTATATCAGATCTCCTGCTACCATGACTATGTGTAAAAAATGAAAAGATCTTTGATTTGTATTGACAATTGAATGTCTGACCATTACTTGCCTTAATATTTCATATATTGAAATTTTCATAAAATCATGATAAATTTTCAAAAGCTAGCCTACCCTTGGATTGTTCACTTTGAAAAATTACCAGTCTGACATGTATCAATATGAGAAAAGCTTTTAAATTAGAAAATTTGCCTGTAGTTAGTAAAAGAAACATTATAACACAGCAATATTGTTCAAGTGCACATAGATTTTATACATAATTTATATAGTACAAAAATTCTATTTTTACTTATTTATATCTCTTTGTTGTCGACAAAATAAATCAATAAAATAAAGTAATTAATTAAAAGTAGTTGAAACCTAACTAGTACGTCACTAGGAGAATTTGACTAATCAAGAATTTAAAAAATTTTGAGTTTACTATATTCAATAGTAAATTTTAATTCTGATAAAAATATGGAAAATTCAGTTACCAGTAATTTAAATACTGTTGTTCGCTTTATCAAATCCCTGAATGACTGAAATAAAAATTGAATGAATAAATAACAGATTTTTTTTTTAATGTATGGTGCCAATACTCCATTTTTGGTTTGGTTTATTTTCAGATTGGGTATTTAACTTAAGAAAAAATACTGTATAGTATATACAGCATGATTAAATTTTACACATGAGATTTTTGAAGACTATTAATTTGAAGATTAATCATCATTTTATAGACAATGCATTCTAATCAATTTCTTCTCGTTAATTTGCTCAGACAATCTGAGATTGGGGAAGTTATTAACCTATAGTTTTAGTGATTCAAAATAAAGTCATGTCCATATTCATTTATTTTCATCTGAATGTAATCGTATAAAAAATACTTGTGCTTTGATAAAATTATAAGATAATTATGTTTCTTTTCGTGATGGGGTATTCCGTTTCACCAAAATAAATGAACATTTAAAAGGCTTCATATGTATTACAAAGTACAAACCATATATCAGACTGCTCAGTGGATTTTTTTTTCATAAGAAATAGTGAGTTTCTTTGAAGATCAACGTTATTTGATATAATGCATAGTTTTCTTTACCCGTTTACATTAATGTTAACCTCAGTCAGCTATTAAAAAGTTAAGGTATTCAATGTATAACGACCATATTTTGTACCTAATAAAAGGATGGTCTGATATTTTTAATCATGGTAGCATTTTAAAGATGTCATCAAATAAAAATGCTCCACCAAAGGAATTTACAAAATTTTGATTATTGTCCAGTTAATTTCACATTGAATTTTACATTGAAGTCTATGGGCAGCGCATGTTTTTATAAGATATTGTTAAAAGTAATTTGAATTTCTAATAAATCTTGTGGTGAAAATATGCATAAACTCTCTCTTTATTAAAATATGAAATAAAATGAATATTTTACTGCAGAAATTTTGAGAAATCAAAAATTTTCTTCTTTTGATCAAGGGCAGATAACTCTTCAACATCTTTTAATGTGCAAAGTGACAGTCTCCATACATGTTATCAGTCTTCTGAATTTGGTTCATGTCACTTATTTCGTTATCTAGTAATCCGTTTTTCACTAGTTTAAAATTATTTAAATTCATTCAAAATCCCTTCATTATACATCGAATACCTTAAATTTTTTTGTTCAAGCGTGTAGAATTTGTTCGTGTTCCTTTTCAAAAATTTATCAACAAACAATAAAGACATCGTTTTTTCTGTTTGAAACAGGTAGACTTTAAATCGATTTTAAAGAAATAATGGAAAATCTCTTATTCAGCCACATCCAAATCAAGTGTTGACATGTCTATAACGTAAACATTTGCTCTAGCAAGATACCGCACTTTGTAAAATACAGGAAAGAGAACAGAAACATTTCATTAACACTAAAATCTACAAATTCATTACCTTTCCAATCCTTTTCATTATCAAGCCTTGTAAAGTAAAGACAATTTACATTTTCAAGTTTTTGCGGGTGCAGACAACCACCGGAAGTACAATTTCTTTACTTTTAAATAACTCGTTCTTTAAAAAGGACCATCGAAGACAACTTGTTCTACAGCATATTCTTATTAATTTCCCAAGACGCGTTTAAAACGTATTTAAAAAAAATATGAAGATTTTGAGTGAATCACATTTGGAAATGCGATCACTCCAACAAAGTTCCTCCATTTCTGTACTGAAAAGTACCACCTGTTTCTAATCCTGTTGAAAGTCTTATCTATTTCTGTTTAGTATGTTTGGCAATATAGTTTTTAAAATAAAAAAAAAATTTTTATGTATCTTATTTATAATCTTTACAAGTATGAACCTGGCAGAAAACCAACCTAAGGTTTACCCAGAGGCTTGCTGCAGCTGCTGACTTAAACTGAGGGAGAGTTTTAAACTTAATGAAAAATAGACTTAGTGAACCTCTGAATAGATCTAAATGTGTGATCTCGTCTTTACTTAACAGATGAGATCACCCGTTATTTCATCTCTTTGAATCAGAAGACAAAATGTCTTTTTTTTATCATCATAAAGAAAACTATGTTAAACTTCATCGGTCATCTATAAGAACAATGATAGCTGTATTATTACAATGTATAATAAAAAAATAATGAGACCCATAGGCCACAGTGCTTACCTGAATCAATACGGTCCTTACATTCTTCAGCAGATTTTTTTCTCCTATACCTTCCTATAATTTCGGTTACACTTGAGACTTTTAAAGATTTTTTTAACAAACTTGAATCTGCATGTTTTCCCATATCTACAACATGTAATGATGGTTTCAAACAAGTTTCAACTTTTCTTGCCCTTTGATTCTTTAAAGAAGATTTTTAATGAATGTCACTAAATATCTCCCACTGAAAGAGGATGATACCTTTTTTTAAAAATAAATCTTAATCACCACTATCCAAGTCATTACAGAAAAGGAGTTGAAAATGTGAAAAGTTTACAGATGGACCAACAATCCTACAGCTAGACAGACAGCCAGCAGATAAAATGTAATAAGAAAAGATCACATCAGCTCAGGTGAGCTAGATACAATATGCTGGCATTTTCTGAATTATCCAGTTATATTGAACCACACAATCATTCATCAAAAGGAAGGAGAATGTTGATGGAAATTTGTAAAGCATTTAGATTTTACAGATGTAATGGGAAAAAAATATGTCAACAAGTGCAGTATCCATTGATTTTTGCAGAATTCTCATGAATTTTCCATTTTTGAAATCATATATTAAAAATCAATAATGCAAATTAATTTATTTGTAAACATATTATGATGACAAATGTTGCTCATAATACACATGCACAAAGGGTCATACTTGTATTTGATTTGATGGAAAGTAGATAAAAATCTAAATATCACAGATACAGCTGTGGAATCACACACAAATCACTTGACAATATTTCAAATACAATTTTTATAATGTTTCTTTCACATACATTGCAGAAGTCAACTAAAAAATCCTCACTTTTCATAATCATCCATTTCTTTTAAAAAGGTATGATCAAGTTTTAATCATCATCATTAACAATTAAATAAATCACTTCTTCACAGTATTCAGTAACATTTCAACATTGCAGTACATTGTTCCTCTGAACCACATGGTCTGGGGTTCCTTCTGACAGAGTCACATGGCCTGTGGGTCCTGTGGACTGGGTCAAACATTCAGAGCTTTGAGGTCTCTCCAAACAGGGAGCCTAACTTCTGGGCCAGCATCATGTTCCCCTTCAGCTTCAGAAGACCTTTCATGAATGCCTGTTGACAAGAATTAAAACATCAAATAAACATGCAAGTTTTAATCATTCCGTAAAAAATTAATTGATACAACAGACAGTGATTTGTCAAGAAATCTGACCGTTTGTCCATTGAGTTTGCCTGTAGCCATGTCCACCATGTTTTTGTCGTCAATAGTGAGGGTACAGTCTGCCTTTCCTTGTTTAGGTGCCCCCCTGTATATCCCTCCTCCTGTCTTCATGTCTGCAGCTGAATTCAAAAACAGCGTAAAAATATAATACACAGAGAGAATCAAGAGGGCTTGTTGATAAGAAAGCAGGTCTAAAATCAAACTGTTTCAATTTTTTCATCAATACTTGTATCTTAGAGCTGCCAATCTTTATAAATTTAATACAAATACTGACTCTTACCTAGAGCACTTGCACTCCCTGCTCTTAGTAAAATTTTAAATGAAAAGTAGAAAAACATGATGCTTACTCCACTTTGCTGCAGGTTTGCCATCCTTTGTAATTTCAAACAAGAAGACAGCATTGATTTTCTTAGCGACATCAGGCTGAGATTTTGCCCGTTTGGCCATTTCTTCAAACAGCCCATCACTCATCAGACTGGAACTGCTAGAAGGCTATCAACATAGTGAAAAATTCAAAATTTATACTGAAAATTATACTTAATTTGTGAACATCATTCATCAGAGTTTGGATAAAAAGATTCAAACTGTTAAGAATTTGTATTGAACTATTCATTTGAAATTATTGTTAAATCATGGTATTAACAAGACAAGTCAGAGTTTTTGCTCTTAAAAAGTTGATTATTTAACTAAAACATTCTAAATTCTATTTGAAAAGAAGTGTACAGTAAAGAAAGTAAATGATTCAACACAAATAATAAGCATGTAACTTCTGTTACCTTAGAAGACGGAGCAGCAGATCCTGGCTTTAGAAGATCACCAAGTTTCTGAGCCAACATCATATTTCCTTTCAACTTTAAAATTCCTTTCATGAAAGCCTAGGTCAAATGAAAAGAACTTATCAAAGTCTCCGTAGAATATATCTCTTATCACAACTGGACATTTCAGCTGTATGGATGTAGAAGTGTCAAATCCCCATTATAAGTAGAGATGGTAGCCAGTGATAAATGACTATCTACATTACCAGTACTCGTAATGCATTTTCAAAGCAGATCAGTTTGTGGCTCTAAAGATTATACACGAAGAGAAAAGTATGTATTATTTGGCCTGGCTGCATTGGGTCCCAAGGGATGATGCCTATTGAACAGTCTGGCAATACGTATTTGAAAGAACCAGCTACCTCAGTCTAACATATCAGCTGGCATAAAAAATAAAACACTGAGGATGTTTCTTGCACTTAATATTGATTGCAGTAAGTTTATCAGTATTCTATGTTCTCTGAAAAACTTTCACACTGTGCTTCAATTTGTAAAGCTTGTTCAGTATATGTCAATGATGGTAGTATTTTCTGGTAATGCTTACTGTTTGTCCGTCTAGTTTGCCAGCGGCCATGTCTATCAATGCCTGGTCATCAATGGTCAGGGTACAGTCAGCCTTGCCCTGCTTAGGTCCCCCCTGATACACTCCCCCTCCTGTCTTCATATCAGCAGCTGAAAGGAAATCAGGATTAATCCACACTCCTGAACCTTTCTTATAAATAACCTTAATATATTTGTAATTTTTACAGAATAAATCTTTTAAACAGCATTTCAGTTAAAAAATTTCAAAAATATTTATTATGATAGAAAATATTATAAAAGAGAAAGAGTGAAATAAAATCTATAAAAGGAACATTTATATCTTTACATCTTGCTCTAGGTATAAACAATTTCTAAGACGAAGCAAGCTATTTAAAAGTAAGTTGATGATACAAGGATAACAACAGTCCCACTTCAACATTTTGCAAATTCAATGGTTTATACAATGACATTGTTAGCAAATATAATCTATCCTGAAGTCTAATGTTGACTGACACTTTTCATACAAATTATGAATTTGTATTGGCAATTCCCTCTGATTTTTCTAAGGATTTTTCCATTAGCCTGTTTAAGGCAAGGAGCACATGGTGGGTGTGACCAGTCCACAGGGAACACTTTCTCCACCATGGTACCTGATCCCACCTCTGATGTCTTTTTTTGTTTCAAGTTTGCTCTGCTCCCAATTTGTTTTCCAATCGACTTTTGAGCTTAATTATTGTTTGTTTTCATATTTCACCCATCCACTAGAAAAATTATACTTAATGACACCTGTGATCAAGGATCTAAAATACTGGTACATGTAAACTATACATTCATTTAAAATATCCAAAATAAGCACTACAAATCACTGCCTTTGGTGGAACTCTAAAGTATTTAATTTTAACAAATGTGAGAACAATAATTATCCTAGTCCCTGTTCAGGTACATTTGTTGTGAAATGATAATTCTAGTGATTATAACAGTGTATTTTGACCTACTCCATTTAGCTGCCACTTTCTTGTCTTTAGTGATCTCAAAGAGGAAGACAGCATTGATTTTCTTGGCCAGCTCTGGTTGTGACGCGGCTCGCTGTGCCATGTCGTTAAACAACGCATCAGAAGCCAGGTTACTGGGGGCCTGAAATAAAATCAAACAACTGTACATGTACATGTAAAGAGAGGTTGATATAGCACATATACTTCTTGGAATGGTTTCACATCACTACTCATAATTGTATTTCATTCCAAAATTTGAGCAAAGGGAAGAAAATTGTAAAATCCTATGCAACCTTGTGATATTTAATCTAACTACTTTACAAGTCTAAGAAAAAATATATCTAAGTAATGATATCTCATTAATATCCTACATACTTTATGACAATCAAACTATAATCTGTATGCAAGGGCAGTAACTCTAAATCACATTTTTACTTTCAGGTATGAATTTATAAAAAATAAGCAAACATTCCTTGCATGGGCATGGAAATAAACAGATGTTGAAAAAAGTAACAACTGGCCACTATCATTATCCGAGGACACTGGAATTGGCTTGGCCAAGTACATAGAAGGGACTCAGATGAACATTATAAAGGCAGTTCTCTTCTGGACCTCAGAGGGAAAACAGAGGAGAGGAAGGCCCAAAGTCACTTGGCGGTGGTCAACAGAAGCCAAAAGAAAACAAAAAGAGAGAACTTGTATAAGACTCCAAAGGCTAAACATTGAAAGAGTGAAGTATGGGAAACCTGTGTTACTGTCCTACAGACCAAAGACATCAGTTAGTGAACAATGGGGCAAAAGAAAAATGTTGCCTGTTATCAAATATCTTACTTGTGATACTGCTGGTGCCCCTCCTTCGTTGAGGTCAATGTAGGAACCAGACAAGCTGATATTCCCATTCTCCAAAACCTACATTGCCAGAAAAATTCAAATAATCCAAATTGTCCACATATTTAAAAGATATCAAGGTCTCATTATCTAACCAAATTTATTTTCATATACATATTTTAAAGAAAGGAAATTTTATAATTTTAATCAGTTGATAATGTTCATTATCTCTCATATTAACACTAACTCTTTATTTAGTTTACTTGTATATAGTGTAAACCTTTTACGAAAATTAAAAATTATTTGATCAACAGACCATCTAATACTGGTAAAGACTAAGGATTTTACAATACACTCTTCTACACACTGACCTTACACTGGAAGTAGACCCTGCTTCCTTCCTTCCACATGTCTGTCTGTATGGTTTGACCAGGTAATACAGGCTTAGAGAATCTCACCTGTTCATTACATACAAAACAGGTCATTAAGCTTAAGAAGGAATAAAATGTCTGAATTTAAAAAATCATATACATTCAAAACAGTGGTTTTGTTAGCTTAAAAGCAAACCATTTGCAAACCTTACACTAATAGTTTAGCCTTGTTCATTCAAATGCTGTTTAATGATCAAAACATTCAGATTATTGAAACATTATTTGTAATAATTAGATATGTCTATGTGATTTTTTCTCCCACCAATTTGTCAAGAATTGTCTAGAATGTGAAGCATCGGCATTATTCGCATCTAGATTACTGATCATGAAGTTCCACTGATTTGAATATTTTATGAGATTCAAAAATATTTCTAGAAACATGTAAATGCAGTTATATGTATTATAAACTTAATTCTTTAAAACAGGAAATCAGACTAACCTTGATTGCTTTGAATTTAGACACATCATTGTTGCAGTATTGTCGTAGAACATGCCTTGTGGCATATCCATAGCTACACAATCCATGTAGAATCGGTTCTGCAAACCCTGCAAATATACAGCATAAGTAATCAAGCACTGCTATCTTTTTTTGTTACAGCAATAAAATTTTATTTGTTACTTAATAGATAGATCTAGTAAAACTTCTGACCTCCCATGGCAGCAAAGCTAGGATCAATATGAAGAGGGTTTCTGTCCCCACTTAATCTGTAAAGGGCAGCCTGAAATCAGACACAACACACTGTTACCTACAGAGAACATTAGCACAAATAGAAGGACAGCTGCAAATACAATTTGCCAGACCTGATCCACGCTGGTTTTCTCACTAATGCTGGCATCAGGGGGTCTTTTGGGAGGATTAACTGTGGGTTTGGCTTCATCAGAATTCCGCTTTCCTCCAAATTTCCCAGCACCAACCACAAATGTACTGAACTGGTTAAATGCAACCTTCTCATTGTTTTCATCAAAGGTTTCCACTGAAAATACAAAACAGTAGCATGCATTATCGTTAACCTTTACACCAAGGGCTTAATTCATAGGCCACAGGGTCATGCATTATCAATAAGCATCTAACTGTTTATTTTACCATTGACAATAAGAACTGCCCCTGATCCCTTGTCCAGTATGTCCACTACTCTTGATTTAGAGGTCAGTGTAGCCTTGGTTGGGAGGGGTTTGTACACTTCTGTATATTGCTCTCCATGTAGAACCTAAAATAAATATTTTTACATTTTTCTTAAAAAAATTTATAGTACACAGATCATAAACTAGAACTCAGAGAGCACAAGCTAGATCAAAGCTCAAAGGAAGTACAAATATCACTGCTTATTAACCATAAATTCATTTGGTAAATGAATTACAAAGTCAGTATAGCAGTACTGTACAGAGTAGTTTGACTTTCACCTTAGTCAAATCAATCTGGAATCCTGGTAGGCCCCCCATCATCATCCCTGTCTGGGAATTAAAGGCAGGAATGACAGCAAAACTGGGGAGGACACAGAAATCTCCAGCCCCCTCAAACAGAAACTTCAGGTAATCCGGCTCCTTAGTGGATGAACCAACTGTCAAATGTACTTGTACATTAATACTTCACATTATCCAAACTAGACATCCAATCAATACAATCAATTTAAAAATCTATTTAATTTACAGGAAGATTAGAATACATCTACATGTGTATATGAATACTTAATCATTTTAATTCCAAAAGGTATACAATACTAGAAGAAGACTCAAATACCTCCAAGAGCATACAGAATGACATCTCGTTCTGTGTAGGTGAACTGACTGGGTGGTCCTCTATGTGCTTTAGCTGCCTCCTGGTACAAAGAAACACAATATCACAAAGAGGAGGGGCACCATAAAGACAGCCCTTCACTACAGGAATAGACCTCCCAACTTATGCAAAGGAGTTACATAACACAAATCCCAACGATGAAGCCACATACATATAAAACATCTAACAGGAATCCACATACATTTAACACAAACCCAAACGGGAAAGTGACATATGTGTAACACAACACAAAACAGGGAAAACACATAAATGTTACTTAAATACCAAAAAGGAGGCCACATGTATGTAATACAACTCCTTAAACTATGTAACATGTACAAATTGCAACAGGGAGACCAAATACATATCCTTCAGGGAGTGTGTTACATGTAAGTACAATCTGGCCACCTCTGCTGTATGACTGAGATGTGAAACCATTCCATGATCAGTTACTGACATGCTCAACACAATATTCAGTTATAATGAATAAAAAACAAATTAATGACTTGACCTACACAGCAATAAGATAAGAACAGCTGATTTTCTTGCTGTCAGACTTACAATGTCTATGCCTCCTGTCCCTGAAGATGATTGCGGTGATGGTGAAGGCTCCATGTCCAAGTCCTTCAGAACATTCATCATGTATGCAGAGGACTCTACAAAATATCTCAAACATGTTAACGTACATATGACTCTACAAAATATCTCAAACATGTTAACGTACATATGACTCTACAAAATATCTCAAACATGCTAACGTAAATATGACTCTACAAAATATCTAAAATATGTTACACACAAACATTTCCTGAGCTTTATCTAAAATCAGATTTAGTGTACATTAAAAATATTTTACACAACATATGTGGTTTGATTTGTATCTATTTCTGTTTTCTTTAATGCAAATACATGTAAGTGTATATGAAAATATTAACTTGTTCATTCCTACTTATGATTCAAATTAAGTCTCCATCTGTCTATATGGAACAATTAACATTTATCATACCCCCTTTAACTTAGTTGATGAGAGGGGGGTGTTTACTGGTAATTTTAATATCAATTTATTGCAATTTTAATATATGATTTATATTAATTTGGTGTAAATGAGAGGTATGGCATAAAAAATATGATTAAATTAATGCTAAACATTGCAGTACAATAATAATGTTGTGAGTACAGTGTATATTTTAGATGACATTACAATACAATAAAAAACAATGTAGAGTTTAATTTAGATGACATTTTAATACTAACCTGTTGTACTTTTGGGATGTGTAGAATTTCTGAAGTCCGAAATTTTGTCCCAGTTGTCACGAACTGAAAATAAAAGTTTGAGTTAGCAACATGTACATGTATACCAAAAATTTAATGCAGTAGATAATCTCAAATTTCATAATCTACACATGTTAATTTCAATAAAAAATTCGGTGTAACTTTGTTTCAGTTTCTTAATTTTACCAAGGATGTACATGTATACTTACCATCCTCTGGGGTCATTCTTCTCCCTGCCTCACGGCAAACAGCTCCTTGGGTTCTCTCCCATCTCACTAGAATAAGCAACATAAAGAAACATCAGCTAAAAGCATTCCATCTCAAAAGATTTACATGTATCAAATCTGTTGTAGTTTGTTAAAAGAAAAAGAGAGGAAAGTCTGTTCTTACGTTTCCCAATCCACCCTGCTCCACATTCGTATAGCGACCCGTTTTCGGTGCAGGATTCATGACACAGATATAGAACAAGGGGTGCTACATACTCAGGCTTCAGGGCTTCCACAATATCTGTGATAATAAGATATCCAACATCTAATAATGATCCAAAGAACTATTCATTAATGTAATAACCAACATTTAACAATAGACATATATAAAGCTACACCATCCCTCACCAGGCACAAATTATAAAACTTGAAATCAAAAAACAAGTATTGACTCTACATTTGTTAGAAATCACTGAAGCTTTAACAATGGTTACAGGGACAAACCTGGAGGCAGGACGGTCTCTGTCATTCTGGATCCAGCCATTGGAGCTATGGTGTTACAGAAAATGTTGTTCTTCTTTCCTTCAATAGCAAGGGTATTCCCAAGGCCAAGAAGGCCCAGCTTAGCTAACAAAGAGAATGAAATCACATCAACACCTTATATACTTCCCTCCAAAATAGTCTGTTTATATTAAATGAGCTTGAAATACAGTGCTTTGAAATTCTGGCACAAGACAGAATAATACACATGTAGATCAGTTAAATATTTCAAACATTTCAAAACAAGTGATCAATGGACCCTAACATAGAACAAACTTTTCTGAATCAAATCTTGTTCTTTTTTCTCTTTTTCATGTATGATACTCCTTTGTAAAACTGGAAGTTCTATCACATAAAATTTGTGGTCAAAAACATCGTTGCAAACCACAACCAAATTGTACAATCCTTTCCCATTCTAGAGGGAGCTATATGTAGACTCATAACCAAGAGTTAAGATGATGGGTCAACAAAGTCAACAGATGAGGACAAATTTGAACACTTCATGAAAATAAATCTATAACTACAAAAAAATGTTATCTTACCTGCACTGTAATGAAACAACATTCAAATTTGATCATGCAAATACCAGCTGGGGGGGGGGGGGGGGGTCAATGAATTCTGAATAAAATTGTAAAATCATTTCTAACACATATATATACGTTCTATACGAATAAGAGCTTAAACACAGTCACAGTATATAAATTTCTACATTGTAAACATAGAAAGTACAGTACCAGGTAATTACATACCGCGATAATTATTTCTCAATTGCTGACCTTAATTGTTATAGTAGTAAATTATGAAGTGCTTTACTGGACTTTGAAAATTATTAATTGGACTTGTACCAATTATAAATTTATTTATTACCTCTATGAATGTTTACATTATGCTATAGGAACACAGCATGGCCGTGAAGTTTTGAAACTTCGATAATTATTAAAACAATAATCTCCTCCCCTTTTCCAATTTACTTTAAATACTGAGTAAGCTTTAAAAACACTGTGCTGACAATTCTCTAATTGTACTAGAACAAAAGAATTTACAGACCAATTTATGAAAGTAATTGTTCTTTTACATGTGTGAGAATCAATTGCTGGTGTAGATCTATTTCTTTTCTACATCTTATCCCAACTTAAGGATCATCTGAACATCGGTGTGTAACACAAAGTATAGGCATATAATGTTACTTTTTACATAAATTTACGAAAAGGGTTTTTGATTTTTAAAAACGCTATCGATGAGTTGTTTTTTTTTCCAAAAAGTGCTCCGAAGTCGACTATCGTTAGTTTTTTCTCAATCGTGTCACTACAGTTCTGCTATTTTGACATATATTCTTCTGCACACTCTTGAAAATAAATATAAATTAAACTAGGATAGAATGTTAACTTACCTGCATAATTAGCTTGTATCATTAAATACCATAGATACCAGCTGCAGAAGTCACCATGATAATTCTGTATAAAACAAAAGCAGTGTAATACATATGTAATGCTAGCACAAAAAAAATTCACTCTTTTCAAATTAAAAGCAATAAATCTGATATAATGACAGACCCCTTTTAACACAATTTTTCATGTGTGGCCATGCTGCTCTAGTTACCTGGAAGGAACCCCTCAAGTGGACCTTATGAATTAAATCTGAAAATTGGATGTTTACTGTCATATTATAAGATAGATTACTTATGAACAACTCATAAAACACAGCCAGATTCTTGTGTTTAACATCCATTTAGTTGAAATTTCATTTTTTTATCCATGACAGTCTGTTAGTTTTTGCTCTAAAGGTGTCACTACAGTCTTAATTCTGCTATACACATATATTCTTATGCACAACTCTGAGTAAGCAATAGAAATTCAAAACGAAATCAATTTCGTATACCAAATAATTGTCTATACCGGTATCAGAAAATACAGAGCCATCCAGCAAGCATTGCAAGTTTGTTTTGTTTGAGTTGAGCAGGTGCTTGAACCAAGTGTTTGACCTGATCACAAAAAAAATTCAGCAATCCCAAAATTAAAAGCAATAAATCTGATATAATTAGAATGTTTAATACAGTTTTTACTCTCTTACAAAATTCCCTCCAAGATGTGCAGCTAAATTTGTACGGAAGATTCAAGAATTATCTCCCTTGTTTGACATTACTCTCTAAAGAGATGCCGTTATGTTTTATCTAAAAGTTAAACCTAAGATGACCTTAACAGTCTCTGTGCACTGACCCCAATCCTGGTCACTGATGCGAGCATGAATCTATCTGTAATGTACAATCTATCTGTAATGTACAATCTATCTGTAATCATAGAATCTACTGATCACTATGGGAATAAAATCAAATGAATTCTCTCTTACCAGTCGAAAATTTTCACTATGAAAGTGCTAATGCAATACACTTTTTAATGGGTGCTAGATATTGGTAAATGTTATACTTACCAATACGACCAAAGTTTTCTAGTGCAGTTTTCACCAGCTTCTCTCCTTCTTCAACAGAATCTGTGAATCACAAAAATAAAAAAATCATGTCAACATTTCTATAGCTTACAATCATTTGGTGAATCCACACTCTGTTTTCACTGTGTATAGTTTAACATTATTAAGGATCACATAAAATGTATAGGTTGCCACTGTTTTTAAGCTGTCAAACAAAGATCAACAGAAGTATCTGTTAGCACACACAAAAAAAATCTCACATTTTTAATTAATAAGAAGCAGTTCAAAATTCATTTTTAAACAAATTTTAATGATTTAATCTTGAAAACAACATTACAAATTCAGTACCTTCTAAAATAACTTGAAGAAGAAATAGCATTCCATGATTTTTGATGAGACTCCACCACTATTTACCAGTTAAACTTTTGACAAAAAACATTTAAAAAGGTTCTATTCCATAAAAACTTTTTTTAATGGTGTTAGAAGCATCTGGATATTGATCCGGATAAAGTCTGTGAAGGTCCACTGTAATTGTCAGTTTAGAAATTCAGCACCTCCAAAAATAGCTTGAAGAGGAAATAGCATTCCTTAATTTTTGATGAGACTCCACTCAATTTGTTCAAACTTTTGAAAAAAGTTCGAAAAAGGTTTCAACCTTCACTAAACCTTTTTTTATGGTGTTAGAAGAGCTTGAATTGAGCCCCAATAAGGTCTGTGAGAGGGAAAACTTTTTTATCCATTCCACCATTCCACTGATAGAGTTAGGGAAGGTAATACAAGCAAAAGAAATGTTTTGATCCATCCCTGCTCTTTCTTTAATTATGAATGGTCCCTACCTGTCCATAATGAGGAACCACCCAACACTGACTAAAGTTAGGAACCACCCAATTCTGGCTAAAGTTAGGAACCACTCAACACTTACCATAGTTAAGATCCACCCAATTCTAAACATAGTTAGGAACCACCTAATTCTAACCATAGTTAGGAACTACCAGATACTGACCCTAGATAGGAACCACCCAATACTGACCATAGTTAGGAACCACCCAATTCTGACCATAGTTAGGAACCACCAAATACTGACCATAGTTAGGAACCACTCAATACTGACCATAGTTAGGAACCACTCAACACTGACCACAGTTAGGAACCACCCAATACTGACCATAGTTAGGAACCACCCAACTGACCATAGTTAGGAATGACCCAATACTGACCCTAGTAAGAAACCACCCAATACTGACCATAGTTAGGAACCACCCAATACTGACCATAGTTAGGAACCACCCAATACTGACCATAGTTAGGAACTAACCAATACTGACCATAATTAGTGACCACCCGATACCGACCATAATTAGGAACCACTCAATACTGACCATAGTTAGGAACCACCCAATACTGACCATAATTAAGAACCACCCAATACTGACCATAGTTAGGAACTAACCAATACTGACCATAGTTAGTGACCACCTGATACCGACCATAATTAGGAACCACCCAATAACCATAGTTAGGAACCACCCAATACTAGCCATAGTTAGGAACTACCCAATGCTGACCATAGTTAAGAACTAACCAATACTGACCATAATTAGTACTGGTAACCACCCAATACCAACCATAATTAGGAACCACCCAATACTGACCATAGTTAGGAACGGCTTTTCCTCCTTTGGCTCTGATTTCCTCCACCACTACATCAGCAGGGCGGGAACTCTTTCCTTCACCTTTAAAGTTTCCTCCTAGGTCATTCACTACAAATCAAAATCATAATTGAAAATTTAACAAAAGTAAGGCATTGTTAGTTTTGGCACACTGTATCAACAGGTATTGCATTTCATTTAATTCAAGTTAATTAAAAACATAAATCTGCTTTTTTCAGGTTTTGGAAATTTTTTTAAAATATGACAACAGACAACAATGATTAACATTGGGTGGCGGTCATACAGGTTTGATTGCCATAATGTTCAGTTAGCTCAGTTGATAGAATGACTGACTAGAGAAAAAGGGGTCCGGGTTCAAATCCCAGTCTGGTCTGTTGCATTTTCCTCCTCTCCAGTTACATTTGGTGTAATGCCCTGGAAGTAACAAGCGAATCTCCCCTGCCAGGTAAGAGCCTGGGTTGATGTCTTAGGGGACTCAAAACCTTGGAGGGAGGATTGTGGTGGTCAAATGGGTTCCATAGCTGGTGATCAGACAGCTCATATGGTAGCTAGAGCACCCTACTAGAGATTCAGGGGGCCAGGGTTCAAATCATGGGTCTAGTCTGTCACATCTTTCTCCTTTCCCGTTACAATTATATAACTGTTATTCAACCATGGCAGCAATTTAGCATAGGTATCAACATTCTTGCATCCACAGCAATAAACATCCCTCTATCTTATAACTTATCAGTCCTATATCAAATTATTCAATTTTATTAATTTGAAGATTAAATGGATTTGTTTTTATTTTATTGTCTGAATATTCAAGTTATTGAACAACATCAAAAAGAAAGCTTACCGACCACTGATGCCCCTCTCTCTGCAAAACATAAGGCATACTCCCGTCCCAGCCCTGTAAAAGAAGAAGATTACTTATATAAGTGCACGTGCATGACACATACTATAATCTGGGTGAATATGACTGTCAAATCATCTGACCATTCCATTTTCTTAAAATTTTTGCTTTTTAGTATCTTAACACATGCAAAATCTAGAAGAAGCACATAGTGTACATGTACATAATTTAGCATATTCAAAATTTAGTGCAATCAATGGATACAGAGTTGTTGGCGTAATCATGAATTAGCGCTATACATCTTCATGTCGTATATTCTATTTATAAATGCGGATCCTCGTCTGCGCCAAAGTCGCTAAAATATGAAGCCTGCTATTTTAAGAACAAATACAGTAATATCTCATCTGTTAATGATTAAGCAAAACACAGTGGTCTCATATGATCTACAAATACCGAATACACCTTGTGGCTTTATTTAGATCACAGACTTAAATCAAAACAGGATAAGTCTTTCCGATGATCTATATGCTAACTATTGTATATAAGAACCTTGATACTTTTCCTCTTATTCTTGGATTAGCTTGTAGAAATTATGAATTATTTTGGATACATATATTAGGTACATTATTATTTTGCTCAAATTTTTTTGTAATATTAATCTGCTAAATTTAATTCACATTTTCTTTCACATTGCTGTAAAAGCCTGTAATATATTGTGCATTCATTAATGCCCCTCCCCTCTCTCTCACACACAAATGCATAGAATATGCACAAACCTGAAATTTTTTCTATTAATTTGGGAAACTTATAATAGTTATATTTCGCTGACCGAAAAACACGCATAGCTACGTGTCCCTAACACATGACAATTTCTAGAAAGAGCAATACAGCCTTTAAAATAACATTCCAGTTTCTGAACTTAGTGAGAGATATACATGAACTTTGCACCGTTTTCCTCTACTGCAGAAAAATAGTTAAAAAGCCTGATTTAAGACACATCGTCATAAATATTCTTCACATTAAGGGAAAAAAGACATTAAAAGACAAACCATTTCCAGCGCCAGTCACTAAAACAACTTTCCCGTCGAACCGCAAGGGCGCTGACATGTTGGGAATGATGACTGAAGTAAACTTTCAACTCTGCAGTCACTTTTATCCCGATTGGTCGACAATTTACCTTTGAACTTGAGGTCAAAGTTGGCGCAATATTCATTGGTCCTCGTGGCAAACTCCGACGGCACTTCCGACTGAGCTGTAAACAGTTGCAGAGAAAATGCGGCAGTTAATTGTAATTGTGTGTGTTGTAGCCGCTGTCAGTTGTTTCGAGATGGATGAGGACGAGATTCAGGTAGCCACCTTTGACCTGAAGCCGGGAGGTGAATTGCTCTCCTTCGAGAAGGAATGGGTACGTTTAAGAGCAAGGAGTTATTGATCTCATTTTTAGAGTAGCCTCCCTTTATGCAATTAGGTTTTGTTTTTGGTCATTTAGGCTCCCTACATTAAAGCGCACACAGTTTAATATTTGTGTAAATATTGTAAATTTTATCCCTGGTCCACTATTACTATACCAAAAACCCAGTAACCCTTTAATTAATACGTCATGTTACATTTTTTTAAGGATGGAGTCACATGTAAATTTTCATATCAAGCTCAAGGAGGGACCAATGAGGTACTTTATTTTTATATATTTAAATTTCCAATGTCTTTGTCCAAGATAAAATTACAAATAGTAAAAATACTTTATTTCTGTGGGACAAATTGAGACAGAAGGAGGACCTGTAGCACGTGAATTTGTGGAATCGAGAAAATGTAAATAAATGGAATAACGTTAACTGTTTGTCAGATTTTTTGGTTTCATATTGATGATCAGTCAATTGGCTTGCGTGATAGTTTTATGCATAAATGTCTTCGACGTCTATTATGCAAACTATCATTCAAGCCATTCAATTGATCACATCATGAAACGAAAAAATTAAACAGTTATTCCTTAAGTAGTAAATGTATTTGAGAGAGAGAGAGATAGAGAATATATACAGATCGAGGAAATGTTTGGGAATGGAATATGTCTCAACAATATTTGACTGGAGTTTGTTGAATTCACTTAATTATATAATAACTTGATCAAAGCAGAAAGAAAATGTTTCAGAGAATGATCGATACACTATTAGCTAGTCTTCATTAAGTGGATGGATCTTAACCTAAATCCAGACAGCCTTTTCCATTTTGTAAGAAAGAATAGGTTATATGTCTGTAATAACTACTCTAAAGGTAACACATGTATAGTATACTGAGTATTTTATAATTTGACATTGATTTTGCCTGTGACACTGTACTTTTTGTTATAGGAGTGGACAATGGGGATGGTGCGGAGTGACGACCATCAGGAATTCAGCTGCTCCGTAGAACGCCCCCAGTCCTACCTCTTCTTCCAGGCCTTTAAGATGGAGTTGTCAGGGATACCAGCAGTGGAGGGAGAGGTCTATGTAAGGATATCACAACTAAATATGTACACCTAGCAAATATCACAACAAATTATGTACTCTATTTTCAACATGTTGATCAATTTCAATCTTCAACTTGTTGAAATCAATATTTAAAAATTGTTTCATTATTATTTTCTTTACAGGGCCCTGGAATGACCCATTTAAAGCCAGAAGAATTCAAATTTGACAAAGCTGCCAATAAAAGTATGTAACTTTGAGGCCCAGCTCAGTTTACTTTTAATTCTATACTGCGTAATTAATTATTATAATTAAAACACTTTAATGAATATCTGTTCTTTCTTTACATTTTAGTCTCAGAGACAGGTAAATTCCATTCTCAGTTGGACAAAGTTGTTCTGTATGCCCGAAGAGGAAAGACGGAATTATAGACCTGTCTCAGAAAAGTCATCGAAGTTCAAATCTACAAAGAAGTGAAAATCAATTCATTAAGAATTGACCTTAATATTTGTTGCATACTATCATCATGTACAGAAGATTACATACAAATATGTGGGGGGGTTTCGGGGGAAAGGGGGGGGGGTCATCTCTAAATTAAACAAAAAGGCAGCAATAAGGGAACGATCGAGTTTCATATTTTTCTTTGTAATTAAATATTATAGATAAGTAAATAAGGTAATTAAGCTGCACTGAGTGTATTTCCCAGTAATTTAAGCTAGATGTTATCAAAAAGATCTTTTTCTAATTACGTTAACAAATAAGAGTTGATCTCTAGAATGTACTTTTCACATGAGTTACAAAATCCAGTGTTATAAGCATATGTAGCGATTTTTCCTCAGTCCGTTTTAGCATATTGTAAAATGTTGACTGGTATGAGGTGGTACTTTAAACATGCTGTACAAAATCATTCCCTTTGTGTCTACTTTGATAACAAGAGTGTAAAAATCAAATTTCATTCAAGTCACAATGTTTAGTTGAGGATTTCAAAGATTTTTATGATAATTTAAGATTGGAAAGTCAGATGTTGCTAGTAGATTTGTGGAAAGTCAGATACATGTGTGTTGGTTCTTCTTACAGCAATATAAGTGTATTATGTGTATATAAAGTTTTACCTTTTCTTAACAAAAAATTGACATGGCTTTTTTTAAATAGAGTACATATGTTGGAATATATAGATACTTCATAGGAAAATCTTAACTATGGAAAAATGGCACTTTTGTATGCAAAGCTTTTATAGGTTGGCCAAATGTTCTAAACTTAAAGAATATTTGAAGTTTTACTGTTGATTATGATCACTTGGTTTTTTGCAGCGATTAAAAATATAAAACTGGATTTTAGTATTGTCAATGCAGACTCCAAGTTTTCTAATGTACATGAGATATTTATGTTTAAAGTATGCGGAGAACATTAGATAGTTGTGTTAATTAGGATACCTGGTTGTTTACAAGTAAACATATTTGTTCTTAAAGGATTTCACTGTTAGAGAAACATAATTTTGTGATTTTATCATTATTTTTGTTATTTTGGATGAAAGATTTGTGTGAATGTAGAGCAAATCTACCAAAGGTGAGAAAAGTAGATCTGCATGTGTACATTTACATCAATCATTGATGTCACATGGGTATATTTGTGGTCAACTGACTCTAAATCCGTTCTATAGAAGCTATAGAACTAGAACTAGTGTAAGTCAAGATTCGCTAATTCTTGTTTAACATTTCTTTGTTCATGTTGTAAATCTAATAAATAATATTTAATTTATTTTTGTTATTGATTGCTTATCCTGTTAAGTGTGTCTGCGTGTATGTTGTTCTATTAGTATTAATGAATGTAAAAGCAAAACTTGTTTTATATACATGTATATTCAAGCTGTTTTCAAAGAATAGATGGAAACGTTAAGTTACCACAGTACCTATTGATGTACAAATAGGTTTTTCAAATACCCTTTAAGTTATATCATTTACATCTATTTGAACAAAAAAGTGCTAGCTAGTAAATAGTTTTGTCAAATTGAGTCTTATTATGTGGGTCTACATGTTCAACTTTTTTATAAAAAGTGCATGGCATGGTAAATTCCAACAAATTGTTAATAAATTGAAAAACAATTGAACAGCTATCTACAGTCAAACATCATTACCTCAGACCTGGTGGGGTTGAGAAAAAACTTTTGAGATATCGAAGGTAAAATACTTAAGAATATATGGTTGGGACTTCCACATCACTTCGACATATCCATGGTATTTGAGAAATTTGAGTTTGAGATACTGAAGTTCAACTCTATTTTCAGTAATGCTTGATTGGCCCTTTTTAATCAATGAAACACAGTTTTCCATTGATATATTCGAGAACAATGAATTGAATATAACAAATCCTAAACATTTGATTGACCTGTAAAATCATTTATTTTCATGAAATCGTTTTCATGGTTCATGGAAAAAATTTTTTGTACAGAAGATTTAATTTCTTCGTTTAGAAAGAAACACTATCCTGAAATTACATCATTTCTGTGGGGACGCAAATTCACAGGTCTCTGCATACCACAAAAACAATGAAAATACCTCCCAAGAAAATAAATGATTTTGCAGTATAATGTAATTTTGTATTAAATTTCAATGAAAGATTCATCAACATTAAAACCTGCTCAGAAAAGCAAGTGTAACAGGAGAGAAGAAAAATGCAGCAAACCAAACCAGATTCAAACCAGGCCCCCCTGAATCTCTGGTCAGGTGCTCTACCAACTGAGCTATCCAGCCACTGGCAATCAAACCAGACTGACCACCACATTCCTCCCTTCTTAAAGGTCTTTGGCACTTTAAAGACCACAACCCTGGCTCATCTCTGGCAGGCCTCATCTCCAGTCAGGTGCTGAGCTATCCTGCTAGCGCCATTCAGACCCGACTGACTGCCACACAAGTATAAAGTTAGCACTAGTGAAACAGAATAATCTACTTCCTGCATCACAGACAAGGTGACAATTCATTGAAGAAATTTATACCTTTCTGAATGATCATGGACCGAGTCTGTTTTTCACTTCTTAACAGGAACCAATAGTTTCAAGCAATTTTTACCTCCTACATACAAAAACATGTACAAATATTCAAATTTATTTTACCAGAAAACCCAGTAATTCTTTCTTGTTTATTTAAATAGCCAAAAAAGATGATGACAATGCCAGATGATAACAATAGTTAATAATTATTCACAACAGTAATAATGCATGTTACTTAATCACATGCTAATCAATAAAATCTATTTAAAATACACAAAAACAAATATATCACAGCTTTCACTTGTGTGTAGCTTGTAGATAACACAGGAATATAACCAGAAGCTAAATAAATGCTTCTCCAAAGGTAAAACACTGCTTATACATGTACAATACTACAGTCATTCAATATTACATGTACTACATATCTACACGAAGGCATTGTAACAGATAAATGCAAAATAACAAAATAGAAAGTAATTGAACAAAAAATGAAATAATACATCATCTGAAAGCATGAAATGGAAATTTGTTTTATTATATTTTTTGGATTAATTTTGTTCCTCTTACATACAAATATTTGTTGAAGGAATTCTTACCAAATTTAAACATAAATTTAAGAAAATACTATTTTGCACATGTAAATTTACTTTTGATCTATAAATTAATGTTATATGAATAAGTTTTTGTAGCAATTTAATTTACAAATTAATCAATGTTATAATATTTACCATTATTAGCTCTTTTTATCTGTTCAAAATTTAATTTTAAAGACCTTGCTTAAAGGGGCATAACTCTGCATGTAAGCTGCTCTTAACCACAAAATGCCAGTCATACACAGAGATAATATACAGTAAAACAGTAATTTACATGTAACAAAACAGCTGTACAGTTCATCAACAAGAAAACGCCAAACAAGTGCAAAAGAAAGCATTGATGATTATTCCATGAACTCCTAACTCTTGTTCCTATCACATCCATTGAGCACTATTTGAGATTGACTTGTCACATAAATACATGTAGTTTCATACTGTTTTATTAAAATATATCTCATGCTAGAAAAGAAAACATCTACTGATTTTTGTCTATAAATGGTAAAATTTACCCCTAGTACATATTCATTTGTATATTTATTTAAAAATCCCAAAAACTATTGAATTTCAGTTTGAAAAAGTTTGTAAGTAAAACATGAAAGCACTATTTCTTTAGCATATGACAAATGAAATGGCTAATATTCACATGTAAATATTGTTCTCATGCACAAGTAATGAGAAATCACAAATTTTTGGATAATGTTCATACATGTTGAAAAATTCATTAATATAATTTGTTTCTCTCTGAGAAACATAAATAATAAAAGGGACATTAGATTAACATTTAAGTGTGAGAACCACAACCATCACCCAAATCTGTGAAATAGCTGCTCAGAAGATGATGGGCACACAAACAATACAGAGGCTAATCCTAAATACCTAGGTGTGGAGCATAACATATTCAATCTACAGAGACTGAACGATGAAAACAAGGTGAAAATCTAACTATTAATTACTATTTACTGATTCTAATATCTTTGAAACCAAACACCAAGTATGCTTTAAATCTCTGAGTAAATGTACTTATTAATAATCTGATGTAAATTTAGTTTGAAAATAAAATACCATTATTTACATCTAAATACCATAATCATACATTCAATACACACCATACATGTAGTATTTATGCCTTAATAGTACAACTTAAGCAAGCACCCCTGAGCTTTGTTTCTTTAGTTTTGTATCGTTTTCTTCTTTCATGTACCAAAAAATGACTACCTAACACTGACAATGTTCTAAATTTGGACGGACATTGTTTCTATCTTATTCTTGAATTTGAGGGTTAAATAAGAGGGATCTAATAAACCATTATGAATTTAACAATTCCAATAAATTATCACTAAGGAATAAAAAAGCAGTGAAAATACATTGACAGGAAAAATTCTAGCATTTCCATCAAAGAACTTCAAATTCACACAATCGAAATTTGACTAAAATCAAATCAACAATACATTTGCACATTCAAGCAAATGGCACCATGAGTAAGAATAACTCCAAACCCTACCCACCCCTTAAATAATAAAATAAAAATGACTACATATTACATGTACTTAATGATATAATGTCTGGTTAAAATCAACAAAAGTACTGATATCTGACACCTTATCTAGTTGTAAACCTGGGCTTTGAAAGGAAGTCAATATCATATTGTATAAACATAAATAATAAATAAAATATTTGATCACTACATCATAAATTGTAAAAAAGGAAAAAAATTCTCATCAATGGAAATAATTGTAATGTACATGTATACAAGTATTACTAGAAACCCCAATAAGAATTTACAAAATGTCTCTAATTCAAAGAACATCTTACACAACCAATAACTGTAAATTTATGATAATATATAAAAGAGTGTGCAGGTCTCTATAGGTAACTAATTATCAAAGAATACATCTTAAATAATATTGATGCACAACCAATAACTGTAAAATTATGAAACTGATTTTAAAACCAGAAAGTATATAAAAGAATTATGTATCTTAGCTACTTGTGTGATAAGTTATATTGAAATCCAAAACTGTAATCATTTTAAAGCCATAAAATTCTACTTTTAGTTCATTGAAAACAAAAACCGATGCTTACTGTAAATTACATTTGTGTGCCAAAGCATGTAGAAGCGTTTTAAAATTTCTCAGAAAATTCTATTTTTAGTAACCATTGCAACACCGCTGTGTGTAGTTTTTGTGTGCCAAGTGATATTGAAATGAGTCTATAACTGTAGAAGGAGTAGCGTTTTAAAGAATTTCTCTGAAAATTCTATTTTTAGTAACCATGGCAACATCGTTCATCGAAATCAAAAACCGATGCATTAAAATTAGTCTACTTGTGTGCCAAGTTATATTGATATAAAAATTGAAATAATGTATTTCTCTGTTTTTTTTAGTAACCATAATCAACGAAATCAAAAACCGATGCATTATGTTATGTATCCACTTGTGTGCCATTTATATTGAAATTCCAAAACTGTAGAAGGAGTAGCATTTTAAAGGAATTACCTTCTATATTTTAACCATGGCAACACCGTTCATGAGATAGAATTGTTTTGTGTGCCAAGTTATATTGCAAAAAATTGTACGAGGAGTAGCGTTTTGAATTGTTTACAAGTGATTTTAAAAAAAGAGAGAATTTGTTTAGTCTGCAGCTAGTGTTTTTTTAAGTTTACTTGTGTGACCATTCTGCAATATTACTCAGTAACTGTATTGTACATGCTTTTTTTTTTTTTACTTTTCTGACCATTCTTCAAATTTACTGTATAGTACATGCTTGGGAAATATCACCGTGATGTCCTGCTGCCTTTGCAAAGCATATTGCTTGCATCCAGTCATTTTGAACATTTTCATTTTCTGCTTGAATGTAGAAGGTGCGACTGTTATCCTTGGGCTTAATCCTAAATGCATGTTCTTTCTTGTCTATATCAGTTTCAGAGATTTCAGCATTCGACAGAGGAATATTTTTTACTGCTGTCTGCAACAGAAAAAGATAAAGTGGATACAATTTTTAAATATTCTTCTGAGATTACTTTTTTTTTCAAATTTGTGCTACTGAGAAAACATGCCACCTGCATGATACAAAAGTTCTCCTAAAAGACTCAAAAGTGGGTCCATTAAGGTGTATTTCTATTGAATTAATGTATTCTGTACAAAAGTAGATACTGATACTATGAGAGAATTCACAAAAGATTAGTCATTACCCCTGCTACAATAAAGTTTCCATTCATTTTTTGTAATTGTGACCTTGTACCTATCAAATAAGCCTGGGTTAGAAGAAACAACATATCCTCTAGTCATAAATAGCCTTGAGTGAAATACGGATATGCAATGATTTTCCATCAGTAAACTTGAATTTTACACCTTTTTATCCCAGTGACCTTGAATTGCTTGAAAGAACTTGGTCAAGGTCAAGACAATCCTGCAGGTCATAAGCAATTTTTGTATCAATTACATGTATGAGCTTCCAATGATTCTCCATTAAAGTTATAGCCTGCACAAGAAATTTATATCCTTTTTCTGTCAGTGACCTTAAATTTGCCAGAATGACCTTAGGGTCATAACAAATCTGAGGGTAATAAGCAATTTCTGTATCCAGTATGAGCTTCCAGTAATTCTCAATTACAAAGACAGGGAATTATAAATACCTTTTCTGACAATGACCTTGAACTTGCCAGAATGACCTTGGGTCAATGTCAAGATATACCCTTGAATCATAAGAAAATTTTGCATCAAGTATAAGCTTTGACTCTCTATTAAAAGTCTCAGATATATAGGTTGGACACACACTCATCAAATAGTCATTTTACCCCCATTTGGTGGTCAATCGCCTGAAACAGAGGTTTTTACATACCAAATGGTGGTCTTTTTAACACAAATCCAATTTTTATTAAAACTAGAGGTACTGTGAGCAATGAGCTCACTAAATGATACCCCCGCCTCCCATATGAATATATTGGCAGTATCCATGTTTTGCTCTGGAAAATCCAAAATATATGTCAGATCAAAAAGTAAAATAGGAGGTGCACAATGGCAATATATAATAAAGATTTCGTGAAAGTGTCATTAAATTTCCATAAGTGGTATGAGAGGAGTTGCGGATAAGAGATGGGTACCCCAAAGCGTAACAGACGGAAATACCGATTACTATATACCCTCCCGCTTTTCAAGCGGGGGTATAATAAAACAATGGCACACTGGCATTATTTAGGCATCAGGGAATTTTAGTAAACATATTCGGAGCACAATTAATACAGTTCAGTCAATTTACCAAGTGTAATTTCTGTGGAACCTCGTAAAAAGGATACCTACAGCTGTCCGTGACGGCCGAACTTCTTGCTCAACCAAACTTATTTACTTATTACATAGATGACGAATTGTCAAATATCTAAATGAACTGCGCAATAAATTCTGCATTGAATTTCCATTTTTTTTCATTCAGAGCACAGATAAATAGAGGATATCTATATTGTGCAGTCTTCGACAAATCCCGGGAGTCCGATGCCCGGGACCTGGTAAAATTGGAAGCGGGCATGTGGAAATTGCACATTTACAAGCCCTAAGGGCATGTAAATTCTAAGGCATAGCCTCGGTATAATCAAATAAAATAAGAAAATAACATTAAATGTACTTTAAAGTCTTTGATGTTGCATCTAAAGTGAAGTACAAAATAAAATTTTACTGATAGTTTATTTTACCGCGATTTCCAAGGAACTCTCCTGCAAAGGAGACACAAAAAGTGTACAGGTTGAAAACAAATGGCGAGACAATAAATTGACAGAATGTATTTCAAATCATTTCCTTGGCAGGAAAAGGCAAATAAGAATAATATAACTTGATAAAATTCTGGGCATGTAAATATTTGTTCGGGCTAGCGTAATTGGTGATCACACCTGCCCGCAGGGCATGTGCTGAAAAAAAGATTTGGCGAAGACTGATTGTGTGATTTAATATTGGCTTTATCCAATGAGTTGCAATGGAGTATATTCACAATGCTTGTCAAAAGAATTTTGCACCAACAACTTAACTGCTAGGCATTACGTCTCTCTTAAAAATGATGGGGGGGGGGGGGGACATCCGTCTATACAGTAACTAGCTGCAGAACTGTAGCGATATGGTTTTATATATTTGTCTTTGACCATAACGCTACAGATCCCGTAATGCAAAAAAAGTGCAATTTTCAGCAATTTTAATCAAGCGAGTTTATCACTTGTAGGGACGACTATAAAGGGTTGGGAGACAGATAAAATATACAGATTAGTTAATAATGTGCCTAGAATTAGGGAGTGAAAGGTAGTTAATTGACCAATGCTAGAAAGTGGAGAAATTCTCTCCAGAAGTGCGCAAAAAATATTGCGCCGTAAATTGCACCTTTTTTTTTGCATTACGGGATCTGTAGTGTTCTGGTCAAAGACAAATATATAAAACCATAACTCTACCGATCTGCAGCTATACAGTAACCAGTATGGATACTTTGATGAACTTTGACACTTCACTGAGGTATATGAGTCTTTCCTGCTTTTAAAAAAAAAAATCTTGCTCATCCATAAGGCAAGCTTGAGGTATTTTATAATACACAGTTTTAATAAATTTAAATCTTGAGGTGAAGCAGAGGAATTGTATGAAAACCGGAAGTGCTATTGATAAAGCATCTACCTGTGGATAAAGCATAGGTTTATCTCACAGGTAGTATCATCCACATGTATGAGATAAATATCTATATTTTATTCCCCGCGACTGCCCGAGTTAAGATTATGCGACATTTCATGCAATTCCAGAGAACTAAACGAAATGATTTTTCTCTATCATTTGGTAGGTAAAAACCGGCTTCGACATGGGCGATTGATCACCAAACGGGGGTTAAATGACCATTTGGTGGTGTGTCCACAGTGTGCCCCACCTGCTATAGAAAATGTGTTATTAAAAAATGAACAATTTGCTATGACGGTAACAACAACAGTCACAATGTCGAATATATGACAATTTAGTTTTAAAAATATAACATCGACACATAATAATAACTCATCAAGTCAACATCATATTTTGTGATTGTACTTCAAGTTGCACTATATCTTTTTTTGAGTTATTCACCTCAGGTGTGTTTCCATATAGCAAATCCGAATTTCTCAGAACGAACCATTGTTTCTTCCACTTTCTTGATAATTTTGTTCTCTTCCACAAATAACCTTTCAATTCAACATGAGCGTGGTTCTCGTCGTTATGGCTGCTAGATGTATTTAAACTGTTTGTTCGGCTACTTGATGGTTCCGACTCTGCCATTTTTCTCTATTTTGCTTTTATCATAAAGTAGTCGTAAGATCAAAATGTTTGTCGTAAATCAAAATATAACATTTTTCCATTTTTTAGGAAATTACATATAAAGTAAGTATGAAAATTATTTTTGAATAAGAAAAGAAAAAACATTTTCAAATTTTACAATAATTGTTAAAAGGAGAGAACCTTCCATTTTACGACTTACATTTGTAAACGTCAAGGTCACGTGACAACAAAACGGTGAAAGGTCGAATTCTTGCTCTTGTTTAATTTTTTTTATTTCCTGTATATTTTGTAGAAGTATTATTTGGGATGAAATAAGAATAAATTCAGTGTTGAAACATAAACAAATTACATCTAATTCGCGAAAACTGGGCTTTACTACACACATTTACAGCCAAAAGACGCGAAAGTCCGGTCCAAATTTGTTGGACCTCGCACCTCATCATATCCGGAAGCCATCGCCTGAATTTTTTTTTAGACGGGCGAGTTGACATCTTCACCAAATAAAAACTGTACACATGGCATAATGGAAGAAGTTGGTGGGAAGAGAAGCTTTTCTTTTCAAATGCAAATAGGTCTGACAAGGGATCAGATCAACATTGACGGTGAATTAACGTTAGCGAGTTTACAAGAGATAGCTTGTTCGTTTGTAGACAGAAAGGTGAGAACATCAGCTGTTTGAATCTAAGTTAAAATTTTGTCTCAGATACACACATATTTTTTTTATTTGGTCAATGTTTTCTCTGTTGGGCTGGACGCAATCTTGAAGTCTTCGTCCACTCAGTGTATATGTGCAATTTATAACTTGAAAATAGGACTCCTTGCCTTCAGATAGATACTCTATTCAAAGAGTGTACACTCTATTCAAAGAGTGTACAATGACATTTTCAGTATGTGGACGGTGCGACCGTTAGGGCGAGCACAGACACTTTTTAGTGCACTGTTTTATAATATGTTAAGGATGGGACCTTTAAAGCGAGCACAGATACTTATCTATTCTATTTTAAATCTGACTTGTCAAACCACACATGATATTTGCTACTTGTAGTCTTTGATTTCACATGATGTTGTGAATATGTCACCAACATACATGTTAACTATACTGATTTAGATGGGAGTCTACTGCTTTTTCACTCCATCTCGCCTATCGCTTTTATTAGTAAATCTACCGCATTTCTACCAAAGTTTTGTAAAAAGTATTTTTGTTTCAATTTGGTTGCCATTTTTGAAGCCACTTGTCATAAAATCTTGTTAGATATCGCGTGATTTGTCCTGGAAGCATACAACCGCTTTTTTTGTACCGACTTCAAGCATGTATTTGACAATGACAACAGTACCAATCTCAGAGATAACCTTGGGTTACGTTAAATTTCGTCCACATCACTGCCAAGAAAAAAGGAGATATAGCATTCTAGAATTGGATGAAAACGTTTGACATGGTCTATAAAAGTACAGGTGCTCACAGTGTTATCAATAAAGTCAATAGATATCACTCGTTGATTGACAAAGCTATGAGGCATGAGCTATACTGCATCTCTACTTTTGTTTCCGATAATCACAGGAAATCTTATTTAATGGAAGATAGGAAGTACCAGTAGTCTTATATCTGGCTTAAACGATGACATCATCTCCTGTGTTTGACAGCTGAATGAACTTTCAGACTTATTGCTTCCAGGCTATATGAGCAAAGATGATGTTTCTAAAGGCTGATAAGCAGCCAATCGAAGCAAAATAATGAGCATAAAATATTTGTATTTTATTAATTATTTCTTATGTCAAACTTAAAGTGTTTCTTTCTACTTCATTGCAGTTGATATTTGAGATTAATTATTGCATTGGTCATTTAAGGCCACACTTACATAATATACGTCTTCGGAAATCCATATGAAAAACAACGCATGCAATGCTACCTCTTTTGAGGTCTGAATCTCCCTATTTTTCATCACAGTAGATTAACATGTATGATCACCAAAATGAAGTGTGAAGTGCTTATTTTAATCAAGAATGTTTAATCTATGTTTTAAAAGCCTAATATCCATAAAATCCAAAGTTTTGTAAAGTCATGTAAATGCGTGGTCTTTTTTGTAATTGAACAATTGGGTTGACTAGTTGTGTGGATGAAATGAATGTTAATCCTCATTTCAGTTTTTTAAAATAAATATTTTAAAAATTTGTAAAGATATTCTCTCATTTGTCCAATTGTAAAAATAGCTCTGTAAAGGAAAATCTTTCACACTTGACACAATTGCTATTTTATGCCATGCTGTAATAGACAAGTTGCCTCAAAAGTAGCTTCATTTAGCATCAGGCCATCCTTAAAAAAATGTTTGTTTGGAATTGCCACCTGGGAGTTTTCAGACCCAGGAGGGAGGGAGGGATATATTTTTTTTTCAAACTTCTAGTTTATTTTAAAAATCTTCTTTAAACAATAATTTTATCACTATTTCATAGCGTTTCTCTTTGAAATTTAGCTCTTTGTTAGGACAACCTTTACAAACAGTGCGAACCACACAAAATTCCTTAAGAATAGTTGGGATATTTTGTGGAAGAGTGGGAGGGGGGTGATTGGTATGACGTTCTATTGTATACGCCATGAATCACTTTTAACTAGCTGCAATAATGTAGCCCTCTCCCTTTTTTTTTTTTTGGGGGGGGGGGGGGTCAGGGAGAGGGCTACAACACCTTAGGATCTTAATGGTGCAGAGCATTACACGGATGAAATTGAGTTGGTGGCTATTTTGTTTATATGTCTTACCTGGACTTCCAAAATGTAGTTATTCCAGACATAAATCGATCCAAAAATATACAGAACAATCCATATATCCGTATTTTTCGTGTATGACATCACAACTTCAATTTATCCGCCATGTTTACTGACCTTGACATATTTTATTTTGGGACAGCCAATGAGATTAAGGATCTATAGGGAGCGGATTTCTTTGGAATTACCTTATTTTAAGCTTTAATATCACTGTTTACGAAAAATTACACATGAAATGATTTTATTTATCGATGTTTAGTGTTACTATTCATCACAATTATTTATAAACATCGACATTTGCTTTATTTAGTTATTCTAAATTTCAAGCGCAAGTCTCAGTACGTCACGCGTGAACTGTCATGGCTGCTGAAGTAAATACACAGATTTATTTTACATGGTTTTCACGTTTAACGAGCTATGATGTCAACAGTGAATAAAAATTTCGTCTTATTAGAAGTAAGTTGAATGTAAAAACAATTTATTCTGCCTGCAGTCGCCCATATCTAAAAAATATTTTTGCACCATTACGGAGATGCTGTGGAATTGTAGCCCTCTCCCGAAAACATCAGATAAAAAAAATTGGAGAGGGCTACATTATTGCAGCTACTTTTAACATTACATTTTAAAGACTTGTCATACTGACAAATAACATTTTTCCTTTAGTATCTGGGATAAAACATTTCTGATCCATGTAATTTTTTATAACTGGGGTCTGAACGATCATTTTTAATTTCAACATGATGGACTAAGCCTATCAAGTTCAATCTATTACAATTGCTCTTTCCAGGTATCGGTGTAATGGGTGTATCATTCCATTTAGTTTTTTATTCACCTTTTATTTTCATGGAGATGCATAATTGTTCTGTCCTTCGACGCTTGAATGTTTTCACATCCACTGATCCAACCTGGTCTGACATTTTGGCGGCTTTCATTTTGTCAAATCGTCACCTATAATCGCTATGTCATAAATACTATGAAGAAAGCGTTTTATTGACCGGTGTTGTTAAATTAATTTGAGCTCAAACCCGACTTTAAAAAGCTATTTCGACGAACGAACTAACTTGTAATTAATTAACAGTGGAAGAGGACGATAAAACGGTAAAAAAAATGTTTGCAATATTTTGCCAATAAAATTTTTTGAGCTGGGGGTATTTCAATGAGGCGGGCGGCAATTGGAGACAAACTATAATTTTATTTTGGCCTCAATTGGAATAAATAATTACCAAACAATGTATACTTCAATTATTTTATTAGAGTTTGGTGAATATCCTTTAATAATTATTATTTGCATGCATGTTCTTATTAACCAGACTGAATAGGCTGCAACCTATCAGACAGTCTGTTGAAGTAAATTTGGACACATACAGTGATACTAGAGATGATGGTTTTATTTATTTACATGTTCAAATTTGTCTGAGATAAAACTTAACAAAATGGAATAACTTGATTTCTTCATAAACCATTTGTTTCATCGATAAGCGTTGTTACAAAAAAAATCATGTGCGGGGTAAGAGAGAGAGAATGGCAGGGCCTGGATCTAGCTTGTTAATTGGCCGAGCAATTTAAATTCATTGTACATGTGTAAGTAATAACAGTCAGGTTTTAGGGTTTTCATGATGCACGAAAATTTTATCCTTCAACACCTTCCATGTCTGAACAAATTAGAACGATTTCTACCTTAGTTTGGACTTTCAGTAAGGCATGGCATTCTCAACATTATGTAATTAGCTTCTGAAATTTACACAGCTTTCCTTCACTCAGGGGTAGAAACTTCCTAAAATTACAACTCGCAAATAATTGCGAGAACCAAAAAACTGAACTTGCAATTTCAAAAAACAATTCGCAAGTTTAAAATGAAAGCTTTTTAAAAATAAAAGACCACCTATCTTTCTTTTTAAAATCTACTTAATTTTCTACACGATCAACAGACATGGCACATGCGCATTAAATATTAATTTAAAAATGGCTGATATGAACAGTAACTAAAGAGAGAAAGACTTAAACCAGAATAAACAGATATTTTTTACCATGGTGAAATTTACAATTATAAAGATCAACTCGCAAAATTTTACGAGGTATAAAATTTATAACTTGCAATTTGAATATTCTTACTTGCATTTTGCGAGTTGTACATAGTGAATTTCGAACACTGTTCTCTGTTGAAACATACATGGGATAGAAATTTCTGGCAAATGCCAATTAGTGTATCGAATAACCAATAACATTGTCTTCTCCGGCAAAGAGGTGGAGCTTAAGTCGTCTCATCGTTGTCAACAACAATTTAAAGTTCCTGATTAATTTCTTAACCAATGAGAATCTATTCAGCATTTGACAGACGCTAATTACATAGTGCCGAGAATGCCACACTTTACTGAAAGTCCAAACTAAGGTGGAAATCCTCCTATCACTCAGGCAAATTGCATGATCACATTATAAAACCAAAAATCCCTCAAGTATGGTTTTAAAAGTTACTTCATTTAAATTAGGAGACTATGAAATGTAAATTTGCAAGTTTAGTCAGGACTACTGATTTTATTGCCAGGGTTAGTAAGAATTATGGAAAGTAGCCCAACTGATCTAGTACTCATAAAAGTTATTGTCAAATCTTGAAATCAATGTGAGTTTATTTTTTTGTTGAAATTTCTTTTTAACGTGTGTGAAAGTGTAGTTTGCAGTAAGATGCATTTCACTAAGCATTATGGGACCACAGATAGCTGCGGAGAAAAAAATCATTTGGATCAATGTGCAAAAGTCCGAATTTTCTCTTCTCTCAGGAGTTTCTTTAAAATGACAAGTGTGGCTTTACTGTATTTCGAGTCCCTTCATGCGGCACAAGATATTTAGTGCTTCTAGACTCTTAAGTCTCAGGACATCATCTGTAAGTTGCATTACGAAACCGA